ACAAATGAAATGCTTTGAATGGAGAGAACATGACACCCCTGTTTGCTCAGAATTTTTACTAAAAAGGTAACAGACAGAGAATAACCGTATGAAATAACACAAAGCTGACAATATAACCAAAAATAACAGTGCAGGATTTTTAATGGTAATGTGAAACACCGAGTCAAACCGAAGGGGAAATGGCAAACCAACAGATATTCCTATTGGGAAACTTGGTAACATAATTAGTAAGAATTCACCCAACCCGATGAAACAAAATGGTAGAATAAAAATGATACTCAATCTTAAAGCCTTTAATTTTTTGCTTACGTTTAACGATGAGAAGAGACTGTTACCTATGAAGCTCCCAACTCCTAAAGGGTTAGTGTCTCCAACAATGATGACATATGAATCTTCGGTTTCAGGAATTTCATCCAAAGTAGATGACCGGCTTGGTTGCCTTGTAAGATTCTGTTCCCCACTTTCAACCACACGTGTGGGAACGTCAACTCCTGAAGGGTCAATGTCTTCAATAATGATGGCATGTGAATCCTCGGTTTCGAAAGCTCCATCCAAAGTAGATAACGGGCCTTGTTGCCTTGGGGGATTCCGTCCCTTACTTCCTTCATTTGGAATCGTCAACTCAGCTGAACTTGGAAATTCTGTGACAGTAGACATTCCATCACATATAAAGCTCCTTATGACTTGCTCGTCGGGTGCGGTAATACCATTGTATGAGTCGTAATCATCTTGAGCATATGTTCTAAGATCGGGAGGCATGCCATTGGTGTGAAGAAATTGTCCATGAAGACCTTCACGCCTAGAACTTGCCATTTCGGAATCTAGATCAGGAAGTATTGTTGTCTCTTCACAAATTCCCAGGTTTGGTGCCTCTGTCGTTCTTTGTTCTCCGTTTTCTGTGTCTATTTCTCCAAGACTCACGGTTTCAGCCACGGAGCTAGGATGATTGTCGCCATCTAAATTTCCACGGTTTTCTTCCGCTCTTTCTTGTACTGGAGTTGTCAGCGAAGGGATATGGATCCTTGGCTGTTTGACTTTTGACGGTCGAAATAACAGCAATATTGAGGGGGAATAAAGCGCAAAAATAATCCAAATGATTACTACAATCACTAACCATCCCTTACTAAAAGTCAAAAGTTCGATGTCCTTGGCTGAGGCGTGAGAACTTTTATTTACACCAGCAGTGACCAGAGATATGCGAATTTGTTGATCAATCTTCATCAGAACCAGGGTATAGTTGCTTTTAGCGTAGCTTGCACTGAGATTTTGAACATAAGACAAAATCGAACTTGGACTGTGAAGCGGTGTAAATCTTTGATAATTGGCGTGTGTTGAGAAGGCTTTTACGGCAGAATTTAGCTCGGAAATACAGGAGACTTTAATTTCTATGAAGCTTTTAGTGAAAAGCTTCTCGGAAAGAAAGGCTTCCAGTAACGACTGAGTAATAAACGCCGTTATGCCCTTCGTCATATTCGTCTGGTAGTCGATGGACGGCTTCAACAAAACTGTTGCAGTTGTATAGGGGATGATTGTTTCCAATTTGGTTTCGTTGGCACATCTTGCGGAATCTACCCGCTCCTTATACTTGATAGTTAATTTCAACAGTCTTCCTTCGCCTATGGCATTCCTTAATGCTTCGCCGGTGGCGTTTGCATTTTCTACCGCACAACTCCAGTCGCAGACGCCTTCGTTGAAATGGTCGTCAACACTGCTCAAATTTGCTATAAATACAATCACGACAAATGATAACGCTCTAGCCTTTAGAATAACCATTCTTAATCAGGTTCAGCTTTTGAACCTGTTAGACTCCTAAAGGAATAATTTCTCACTTTCAAATTTCAAGGTTATGAGGAAGAGAACCGAGTCAAAGTATGTAATACTCATGGTCTCCACAGACTTCCTCTATTTCTGAGAACTGTTTTGTCGCTTAACTTAGGAGAGGTAGTGAGCCGTTAATTGACTAATCAAAACTATGATAAAATTCTCGAACGTGATTGGTCATCACCAGCCGCCCGATGATAGGACAGTGTACGCGTCCTACTTATAAATGGACAGTAAAATAGGACAGCTGAGAAGTCATGCCTGTGTGCGTGGACAGTATGCGTCATGTGTGCGCGCTGTTGTCATGCGTGAATTGTTGTTTCCACTGTGAAAACTTATAACCGATATCTAATTTCTTTCTCGGATCCTATTATAGTTTTATTAATTGGTAACAGGGCTTCATGTCGTCCAATTCTGTCTGTAATCATACTCGTTATTAGCAAATTGGAGTCCCGCTTCCCAGTCGTCTGATATTGTTAATCACTAGTATGATTACGGACAGAATTAGACTCCACTCAGTCCTATTACCATCATAAATAGTCTTAGAAATAGTGTTACTGCGAAGTCTGGGCCGTGATCAAAGAGAAATCTGATACACCTTCTGCTGTTCATTATGGGAATATTTCCTTCAAAAGGCGAACAATTGCGTAATGAGACATTAATTAGCGACAAAAGACGATCATTCGCGCGTAAATCAGATTCAATAACGATTTTGCATTTTATTCAGCATTCAATAACAATTTTGGGCATTCTTAAGCATCAATCGTCACACAAAAGAGAAAAATATACTTTCATTTGCGCTAACCTTCAAGTCATTAAAACCATCTTGAATGCCAATAGAGACAAGACACAAACATTATCGTGTAGAAACCATTCATTAACATTTTTAACACACTGTTTGCAATTAAACAGCATTTCTGGACGGCATTAGAGTGAATAAGACAATGATTAAAGTGCTTGTACAAACACTAGACTGATTTTTGCATTCAATATGTAAGTATCGATTTTCAAATGAACACCTATTTTGCCCGACTTTACATTATTGTCAGTAAATTTCGTTATGCTCTAATTCGCTACCCCGCTCAAACGAATACAAAACATTTATCATGCAATAAGCAACCATATTTGGGGTGTATCAACACGAACCGTGTGTGACCCTCTTTATTATGTCTTGCAAGAAAAATTACTGAAAACTCTGAAAGGCTCAAAATAAAACAAGCAAACAACTAATAATACAATAAACGCACTGACTCCAATGAATACTCTTTGTAAATATGTGTATGAAAAACTGACAGCAAAAATACAAAAACTCTGAAAGGCTCAAAAAACAGCAAGCAAAAGACTGATAATACAATGAACACATTGACTCTTATGCATACTCTTTGTAAATATGTATATGAAAAACTGACAGCCCTCACTCACTGGGTATTTAATTTTGAGGGTGCAGAGACGTTCGTATGACGCGAATGAATATGCAACGCAACGCAGTATATATATACCAGTTCTCTGCTGATGAAGCAATTGTAACGACATACTATGCAACACCCCACACAATAGGTTACGTAACCCACGATAAATTCATTTCATTTCATTCGCTTCGTGAACGTGTTCTGGTCGTTAGCAAAATGCCTCGAAGAAACCGAAGAAACCGAGAGAGAATCGCCAAGAGGCATCGTGGCGCGCCACATAAGAGAGGGCAGGATCCAGGAAAGACCACCGTCGAGGTGGTAGAAATAACGTGCGCGTGGATGATGAGATGAGAGATTGCCTGGAGGAAATTGCTTGGATAAACAGTGAACTGAGGAGACGGCTACACCACTAAGACCCGAGATCCATGACCGCAAGGTGGCAAGGACATTAGACGGGATGCTGTTTGGAGTGAAACTGGCAAGGCCCCTTCCTGTTGACAGAAACAGACCTGATGTGCTGACCAAGCGAGTCAATTACGCAACCTGGTTTATGAACCATGCCGTAGTGCGCCATTGCGTGTTTGTCAACGAATGCAGCTACAACGTTTGGACGGCCAGAAGTCACGGTAGAGCGCGGCAGGGAGAGAAGGCTTGACTGTGACCATGGCAATATCGCCTATCAGTGGACTTGTGTTTTCCTCAGCAGCTGTCGGCGGAATGAATGCTATGCGTTTCGATAACTTCCTGACGCAGGTAAGAAGAAATCTGGATCTGGAGGAGGGAGTGATCTTCGTGTTTGACGGAGCGCCGGCCCACCGAAACCCGGTCATTGCCGCCCCAAACACAGAGCTTAAAATGCCTCCCTCTAAAGTCCTTTCCTCAACTCGTGGAGCAGGCCATAAGCTTACCATCTTCCTAAACCTAATAAACATTATTATCGCGAAATCCCGACATTGTGTAAGTTATCACTAAAAGAAATGAAGGAACAAAAGAAAATAAACTACTTTAAAGGAAGGAAGGTAAGATATTATCTAAACTAAATCAAAATGTCAAAGGCGTCATGTTACGCCCTTTTGCCTGCGCCAAGTTTGACGAAGCTTGACTTGATGGTCAGTCCATATCAATTACGGATAAGTGAATCTAAACTATCTGTAATGGAAGACGTGTGAATAAGTGATGCCTGCGAGTCAAAGTTTTGAGTTGTTTGGGTTAGAATTTATCTTAATCGTCATGTGCTTTTTTGTAGTTTTTGTACAACTGAATAAGACTTCCACGTTTTTTTCCCCAGCACATCTCATTGGAAATTGACTCACTTTCCATATCCCCTCTGTTGGAGGTCACCATGAAATTTTTGAGGATATAAAAAATGTGTAGGAAACCTGTTTAAGTTTTTACCCCCGGAAAAATGCTAAAATTACTTTGGCCTCGAGGTCTCCCATTTCGTGACGAGTATGTGAATTTAGCCGGGGGCAGCTGTGCCTAATTTTTTTCTTTGAAAAGGTTTTAAAGGCTCTCGAAGCGGAATTCATTTAAACAATCAAGCAAGCCATATAGTAAGATCTCCAAGTACAGATCCATCATGTTGCTTGGATCTTTTTCCAACAGCAAACGTTTAAGTTCGTTCGTCATTCCGCTATGTTGCTACTAGCGACGATGTATGTTAGGGATAAACAACAGACGTCAAACAGCTCCTCACAAAGGACTTCTGCATTAGCACGTGATATGTGTCATCCAATGACGTGAGCGGACTAATTTTACATGAGAGCTCATCTACTTTCCGCTATAGCAGAGTATCACGACGTCATATCTTTTCGTGGTTTATAACGTTGAACTCTCATTTAGCACAGTTTTTGAGCAGCAGTGTCTTTGACGAAGATGGGTTGTTGTGGAAAAAATAGCGACGATGAAAGGACTGATAATGTGGAGATGAAAGGAGGGGATAAGAGAGGCGGAAAAGCTGGCAAGTGGGGTACGTGTGTACAAAGTTTAGCTCTGTAAACAAACGCGATATTAGCTTAACTTGGTAGTTTCATCCGAGGATGTTACTTCTTATTTCCAGGCTAACAATATTCGATTTTAAGGGTTACAGTTGCAGTTGCGATGTGTACTGGAAATTATACTGTATTAAAGAGCGGGCAAACTAAGATGAATACCTAAAAATACCTAAAAAAAAGTGCATCGCGCCTTGCAATTGAATGAGTTAATCGCGGTGGCTCGCAATTAAATTTTAGTCCGTTTTATTGAGATGTCCTAAGGCTAAATTTTACTTAACTACCATTTACAACAATTTTTACAAATCCTTTTAGATGTAATTGACTGGGTAGATGTGTAATTTGCCCTTCTTACGTTCGCGCGTGATCTTCATGTATCACAACGGTGAAATTTGATTGCCCCCTAACAACAACTTCCTTGTTCGGACAGGATCCTCGTAAATGCATCTTTGAAAAATCATTGCAGCTCGAGAGTTAGTCGCAGTTAATGTTAGATCGATTTTCTCATTGAATAGAGATCTGCTTCAGGAACATGTTGATGTTATATGCATGCAAAACTTTGTTATGTGAAATGTATAAGTGAGGTGTGTTGACCGACACGATACAATAATCCTGTTCACACAACATTTCGTGTGCAAAGACAGCAAATAACCTGTTTTGGCCGGTAGGAATATGACGAAGCTATACAAGGCAGTCACAGGCTTGAATTGTAAGGGGAAATTTGCCACCTGATAGTTTGATGTTCCAATTTTTTGCCAAATTAGATTTATATTTTACATTTAGTAAACACTGCTCAGCAGTAACAAATGTCTCAGACTTTGAGCTTTAGGGAATGTTGCACTTATAAATTGCCAAGGGAAAAGGAAATGGTGATGATGAAACTGCACAGGCCCAATGGTAAAGTCTGATAGTAAATTGCTAAATAGCTTGAGCTGGGTCCACATTATTTTACAAGTAAACAATTCAGCCAAAAAATTGATCTACCAGACCCATCAGAATTGTTCACTAAGGTGGGGGTGAGTAGTGGTTGTTTACTTCCATTTCAGTAAATAATTTTTAATTATTTACACAAGCTATTTCTTACTTGCCTATGTTTATATCATCACTAAGTTCTTGATAATTTTTTCTCTAACTATAGGAAATCCTAAACCATTTGATCCAACATTTAATGGGCCAATAAAAAACAGGTAAATGTGTACTGGTTCCTAACAGTCTTGCATAATGCTAAGAAAATATCTTGATTACTTCCCTTTGACTAGCTATATAAGTAAATGATACCTTAGCAGATGTATACAGAATTTCAGAACAGCAGTTGTCAGTATCAAATGGAAACAGCTGTTTGTTTGGAGTCTCAGTATCTATAAAGCATAAACAGCATCAATTAATGCGACCTCTTTGAAAATGAGACACAATTAATATAGGTAGTTCTTGCAATATCCGAGGTTTCTATACCAAACTAAGCTACACATATTTCTCATTTAACAAGTGTAAACCATAGGGTAAGTGTCGTACATCTGTGATTTAAATACCACCATAAATGTATTCTGTATTTGACTTTTATAAATGTCATTCAAAACAAGTGTTCAGTGTTTTTTAAGAATGCAGGGTGATGATTATTGCTGGGAATTACTTCTAAACATGGACACAAGAAAGTAGAATTTATCAATATATGGAATGTGGCTGTTCTCTGCAGAAAAAGCCAATCAGGGGAATTAGAAAACTAATCCGCAGACAATATGAATTAGTTTGTGGTTTGGAGGTGTATTTGTGGGTCCTGAACTTTATTGTGATTGGTCACTGCCCAATTGACCTGTCTGGAGAGAATTATAATGTTCATGGTTCTCTGAGAGTTTTAGTTACTGTAGCTGTAAAGAAAGAAATGATGTTATCTTGCTCAGGCTGATATAGAAATGCATGCTCTTTTATTGATTTACGTGAGGGGAAAATTTAAGAAAAGAAAGGAGTAAAGTGAATCAAAGGGATTCATTTAGTTGTTCTCTCTGAGAAACATAAATTTAAGTGAAACTTAGGCTATGGTTCAATGGGTTATGTCTGATTTGATATCAAATGGCCCACAATTTTAATGATTATATTTTGGCTTTTTTAGGAGCTGCACTGACTGTATATGTTGCATTCTCTTTGTTCTTTACATTGTTGGCATGATAGCCCTGGGAATTGTAGGTTAGTACTTCATATTATATTTTCTTAATATATATGTAACTCTAATGATGACTACTGCTCACAGTATGGAAACTTCAGTCACTGGTACCAACAACAATCCCTCTCAAGACTATACTCATACATACAATCAGACTACAATGTTGCATGAGAGACATGTAGTTTTTGACTGTGTGTGCTTTTACTGTATACTGAAGAGAATGTTTAGTATAAGGTTTATCATACCCTTGAGCAGGCTCTTCCTTTGTTCCAAAAACCCTTTCTTTCAAAATGAGGCTAGGTGCAGAATGCTTTCTTTGGAAAATTAGTGTTATTTGCATGACAACACAAAAATAAACTTTACATCAAAGGCTTCACACTTTATTACCCCAAACTTGAAAGCCAAGGCTTTAAGCATCTTGGAAATGACCTATTGTTAAAATGTACACAAAAGATGTTTGATATAACTTAACAAGGCTACAATGCAAATTAAATATGCTAGTTACTGTGTGAATTGTTCTTAGCTATTGTTGACTTGTTGAGATCTGAAGTCAGATTAAAAGGAGAATATGTACATATATATATACATATGTATTGATATATAAATTTCTGGGTGTTAACAATGTTTGCTGAACATTTTTATCACAGCATATATAAAAGGTAATCCATACAAGCTGCTGAATTCTGTTGATTCTGATGGTAAGTGGCTACACATGAAATTTATTTTACACTCAGGGGAAATGTTTTGGTATTTGTTTTCTTAGAGATTATATAAACAATTCCTCCTTTAACGGTTTTTTATAGTATTGTATTTGGATATAACCACTGGTTGATGTTAAATTTGTGAGATTACTTTACAGGAAAGCATTTTGTTGTATGGAATGAATTTTAGGTCAAAACATTTTTTTAAACCAGTTTGATTTATATTTTCCTGTTGTTCCATTACATGACAAACAAATTCATTTTTAAAAAAACTGTGAAATAAAACAGAATTTGACTTATTTAATTAACCTGAAATCATTTTCAACTACAATCATGATCAAATTTAATTAGTTGTAAGCTTCCTAACAATTTTCTTTGTATTGCCTTTTTTTTTCATTTTGGAGCAGCATTGATTGTTATTGAATAAAATTGTTTGGAACAAAATAAATTTTTTTCATGGACAGATCAATGCATCATCACTTTTACTCAAGACAAAGCATTAAATTTCAATCTGTAATCATTAAAACATGTCTTCTTTTAGGAAATATCTGTGGTTACGATGAGATTGTCAAGTAAGTTCATTATCTTGATATGTATTTTGTACAGGACAACAGGATAATGATTGTTTTACTTAAGACTGGTGGATGTCACTGGCAACTTTTTCTGATACTAGAGCTGAATATTTTGTCCTCTTTTTAGCTTGAATTTAGATGTTCCTGGAAACTTAATTGCACATTTTCCTGCAAAAATACATCTATCACAGTATTGCTCAAAATTTTATATTTTCACATTCACAACTTTATTGATCAGAACGTAGCTTATTGGAAAAAAAAATGTAATTAAAAAAGATTCCAATGAAATTGTGAAATTTGACATTGCAGTAGGTGTGGTCAAAATCCACTATTTTCACCTATTCTCAAAGAGAACTGAGGATCAGGGTGTCAGGGACTATCAACTTACATTTGAACAGTACTGCTTGCTCAAGTAATCACAAATGAGATATGTATGATGCTATCACGATGTTCCTTTTAATATTAACATTTTGCTTTGAAGGGATCGGCCTAAACTGGTTTTCTTTGACTTGACGGAATGTCTTCCTGCAGTCACTCAAGTTGCAACAAATCTCTTTGGGGCATCTTGTCCCACAAAACAGGTGATTATGATGAATAACTTAAAATCCAACTTATATGAGCCCTCCACTCCCTGCTTGGAACTCCTCCCATTTTTTAATCCATCTAAATGGTACCTTTGAGACAAGGTTAAAGGGTATACTATCTTCTTTTTAATAAGTACCTCCCACACCACTTCTCTGACTTGTTGTATTAATACAGTGGTCTAAACACTTAGGGTACATGGAGAAAAGGACACTTGGGTCATTTAATTTGGAATTGTTATTTAAAATTTATAATTCATCAGTTGTTGATGCAATCAAATTTAATTAACAATCCTGTGTGCAAATCAATTTCTGGCCATTATAGCCTGATAACCAATCTGCCAAATGTCATGAGCATCTCATTTCTCCTTTCAATTTCACCCCTGAATCAAATCAAAGAACACAAGAATAAAGGAAATGATCACCAACGGAGAAGCTCTTGATTGTTAAGCAAATTCTCATGGTCAACACTTTAAAAAATATATGAAGAACATGATAGGGAATATGCATACTAATGTTGGATTATAAAGGGTTAAATTTTCTATGAAATTTTTTCAGACTAGAGAACCTTAGATGAAGAATGGTGAATGACATTTACAAACAGTACTTTTGAGCACATTGCACTGATGATAATCCTAAGGCTAAAAAATTCATTAGTCATTGCACACATATATTTGTGATTTTTGAATTTCTTATGTATAACAGGAAATTGTATGAAGGCAAGTGTATTTTGGTGTTTTGAAATTATTTCAAAATATCTCAAGCTTAAGGCATGATATATGATTTTTTGTCGTGTTCTCAATAAAATCACAAACTTAGGTTACTTTGAACTTTCCATTTTTTTTCAAATTTTATCATGTTTTAGAAACTTATCAAATTTCAGGCAAAGGTGATGTCGAAATCCTTTATTGCTTTCTGTTACCTACTTCTGCACTCATCATTAATCAATCAGGAACATGATAATTCATTATAACAGTATGATACAAATAAATGACACAAGTTATGAAACAAATTTTGGGGATGGTGTTACCTGGTTTTTCAATAATCAAATCAACTAAGTTGTAATAAGTGATAAATTTAAGAAAATTGCTTGTGACCATATTGCTTTATGTTATTTATTTAAAATGTATTTTTTTGCAATTCACCCTGTTCTAGCGCTGTGTGAAGAGTTGCCCTGACAAAAATGCTTTTGCACTCACTGGGAATGTATCAGACCTTGTTTGTGACTATGACATTGATGTCAACAGTTTAAATCCATCTTATCAGGTAATTTCTGTTAGCTTTCAACCCATAAAAATATAAGTAAATTTATTGCTGGATCTAAAATTGTAATAAATGTGGCATGAGCATTTTAGCTCAGAAAGTACTTTTCATCTGATATTGTCTTATTGTTTGCACCTTTTGGATTGTTCATGAAGTTTAATATTTATTGTATCTTTCACACTTGACTATCTCTAATGATTTTTTTAGCAGTGTATTTTGCATTTCTTAAGTAAATTCTCTACTGGTTTTTTGGCCTAGCCCCTTGGGGCATCTCAACACAACTTATCTTGGTGTTGTTCATAACTTAACAGGAGCGCTTAGACTTAGTCAGGAACAAGAAGTGTGCTCCATATATCCTCAAAAGTTCTGATGGTAAGTATATGAAATATAATGTTTGTTAATATTATGAGGTAAAGATGAGCTTTACATTGAGACAGAAGCATATAACCTATAGACACTCTTGGTTATGTGCTTCTGAGTGAGGCTAATAAAGGGCCAGTAGAAGAGACTCAATAGGTTGTGTACTCAGACCTTAAGACTTATGTGCTGTGAGTCTGTATTTTTTATGTTTTTTTTTTTTTTTCATTTATTTGCTTAATTATGGAAGGAGGAAATGCAATAAACAATATTATTGTTACATCAATAATACAAGGAAGGGCAGGAAGTGGGTAGAGCCAATGGAAGATTAAGGCAGTTCTTACAACAATTTTTTTTATATTTTATGTCTTAGGTACCTGACCAATAAAATTTTATAATTTTGGTTTTATTAACTCAATCAGTTTGACAAAACCAAATTATCTTGTATATCAACCTCCCCCCTCCCCCTCCCCCCTCCTTTTGCAATGCAGCACCACTATTTCTTCAGAAACGTATTATTCTATAAAATTTTACTCTTGGAGGACACAAATACCTTCTGTTTTAACATAATTGAAAATAGCTTTAAAATATCTATGCATTTGCTTTGTTTAACAGTCCTGAACCGTTGCATACCAACACTAGTTGGAGATGCATTAACAACCAGTTTAGGAGATCAGCTGCAATCAGCAGATGGATCAAATGTCACTACTGAAGAAGTAAAAGAAGGATCTCTGTAAGTAAACACTGAAGCATCCAGTTTGCAACAGACTTAAGAATAAGCTACAAACCTCAAAGGGGATTTATTTTTAACAAATATTTGCTATTTCCATCTAGTATCAGAGTTTTTGTATTTAACTTATGCCTCATCCTGTAAACCATACAAGTGACCAGCATTTAATTTCTCCTTACAGTAATATTACTGAATCATTCACTAAGATTATAAGAACAAAGGAAGTGATTGCTAACCAATCAAGTTTTGATTGTTAAAGAAATTCTCCTTGTCTGTACCAAAGGAAATGTATAGAGAACAGTATGGAGAATATGAATACTGATGTAAGGGTGTAAAGGGCTAATACAAGTGTTTCATTGGCTCACCATCACAAAACAATATTAATTAGGAAATAATCCTGCAACTGCAGGTTTGAAACTTACTAATCTTTGGTTTACCTTCTTTAGAGCTGTTCAGGCATTGCTGAACCTGCAGAACCTCGGTCAGAAGGTAGGAATAATTTAAACTTAAGATAATACTTCTCAGCCTTCTGTTATCTGCACCTGTGCTTAGATACATTAACATCAAAGTAACAATTTTTGCTTTTTAATGTTTGCGGTAGATCATACAAGATGTGCAGGAATCCTGGTACTGGATTCTGGCGTAAGTACAGTGACAAAACATCACAGCTAGATATTTTTTTGGTTTCTTGGTTGGCTAGTGATAAATTTTGGATGAACACTTTGCAAGGTTGTTGATTGATATATCCAGTTGTATACCCAATATTCCTTTTTACAAACCTCATTCTTCATAGGCACTAATACTGCTTTTTTATTGTGGCCACCTGAACTCTGTTCTTTTTGTATAAATTAGTAGCTATCTATTAGTTGAAGAGTAATGCCTGAAATGAAAGATATATTTCCTTTGTGAATTTTGATTGGCTGTGAAAAACTCGTGTTAAGTATGTAAAACCACCAGTTGTTCCTTGTTTTGTGTGTATGATGTTAAGGTAGTAGAGCAAGTTTGGGCTTACAATCTTGGTGAGATTGAATGCATAGCTGACTGAGTGTCTTGTTTAAACAGTGCCATGGGAATTGCGATGGTGGCTTCTTTCTTGTATATTATTGTCATGAGGTGAGACTGCAGATATTTGATTTGTTTTTTGATGTGATAATGTGATAATTATGGCTCTTTTTTTAAGTGCAACAGAGTAAAACAAAAACACACCTATTAAACTTCATATCGGTGGAATTTCATTTTCAGGTGGATTGCTGGACTTGTGGTGTGGGTGACCATCTATGCTGTTTTGACTGCACTTGGCTTCTGTAAGTGTTAAATTTAATGTTTAACTTAATACAGTCCAAAGCTGATAATGTGCTAGTAGAGTGGACTTCAGAAAAAAGTCACCCCAGCCACCACTTGCTTGAAGCCTATTTTTCACTTCTGTTATTGAATTCTTCTGGGAAATTGTTTGGTAAGTAAATGAAAACTTCCATAGGAGAACATATGGGAAATAGTTCCTGCTTTTGAGAGAATTCTGTTCACCTGCCATTTTTCAGCCATTCTGTTGAGTTGGGCAGCTGTTTGAGCTGTTTTGGAAGCTGTTCCTCATCGATTCAAATAGGTTCTGACATCTGTTGGGGAAATATTGCATCATTTGAACAAGTTTAGGAGCTTCTAAAACAGTTTTGGCTTCCTCCACCCAGTAAAATTTGTGAAGATCTTTTTTCCACAGCTGAGGGCTGGGATTACTGTGGTAGAGACAAGGCTATAGTCTTTTGTTGTTAGTATTTTATTGATGACAAGTCAAGGACAATTTTAGAGGACGTTTAAGAAAAACAACATAGTGAAATCCCATCATCTTTTTAAAGGAGGGTTTTAGAATAGTCACGGTCTTGAGTGACAAACTCTTCAATCTTGCAGAAAATAAATTACAATTTTCTATACAGGCTTAGCAAATTGCAATAAAATTAATTTTAATTTGGCTGCAGCCCAAAAATTAAGTGCCTTGTTACTGGAAAATGTTTGATACAATTAATGATGTGAATTATTTTTATTCATGATGATATGGGTGGAGTACGTGTAAATCCACTTTTTAATATTTAGCAGCACCTTTATGACTGAGAAGAGCTCTTTATGGATAGTCACGACAGGTGGTAATCAACACACTGAAATTCATGCAATATATATATATTTTTTTTTAACATTTAGCTGTTTATTATTCATGGACAAAGTACAAAGAACTGTCATCCAACTCTGGTAACACCACAATCACTGTTCTGAGTGTGTCCACTGGTCTTGATTCATATGCTAACAGTGAAAAAACTTGGTACTGGCTGAGTAAGTAAAAACACTTATTTTATGCATACAATGCTGTAGCTCTTCCCTCCTACCAATGTCCAAGATGCAAAATTAAATTTTTAATGCATTTAATCGCACTTATGGCAAAATTCTAGTCTCAAATATTCAATTTTGGATTGTATTGTTAGCCGACTTGTCATATAGACTAATAGTCATAGACTGTGCTGTCTTTCTCTTGGGCACTGATGGCCTTGGGGAGGCACTAGTACTAATGGTGGGTAGGAGTGTGTGGCAAACCTCTCAAAATGGTTACCTTATTTTAGACTATAACACAGTGTACCAGTTTGCAATTTTTCCATCCTATTCAAGGTCTGACAAAAATCCAACAATCTATTTGAGGCAATCCTTAAATTAATACATGTAACTACTTATGTTTCACTCATGATGAGTGACAATGCCTTTGATGTTGAATATATTTTGGTTGTGGCATTGCTTGAAATCAGTTTGTGCACACTTTTGACATTTTTAATTTGTTACCATATTCTGAAACAGGGGAACTTTAAAATTAAAATTTGGCAAAAAATTTAAACCAAGGCAGAAAAAAGAGAAGGTTTAGTAAAAGCTTAGGAAGTTATCTGTGGCACTCCTTGTGTAAAATCATCATAATGAAAATGTCTGTCTATAATATGCAGATGAAGTGACAGTCATTTCCTTGTGTTGCAGCTATTATTCTTGGGGTTATCCTTGGAATTCTGGTGTTGATTCTGCTGGCTTTATACAAGAGGATTTCTATTGCAATTCAGATCATCAAAGAGGGAAGCAGGTATGATGACTGCACCCACATTCTTCCTTGAATGTCACAACATTGCGTTGTTGTTAATGCAATCTATGTTTTCATGCATTTAATGTGAATTGTATGTATGTTTTCATTTTCATTTCAAAATGTAATTTCCTTTGCTCTTGTAGGGCTGTATCTGCCATGCCATTTAGTCTGTTTTTCCCTGTTGTTCCTTGGCTGCTCCAGATCATACTGTTTGGATGGTTTGTTGGTGTCTTAGCGTATCCTTTGACTTTTGAAATGTTGTTTAACTTTAACATAGGCGGTTACTAGTTAACAACTGCAAGGCTGGATGTGTTGTGGGTTTGGGGGGTGTGATTGGATGTTTGGGTGGGGTTCATTTGGGTGATAAAATTATACACCCTTTTTAGACTCCAGACTCCTAAAACCACGCCCTCAGTGGTGAGCTGGGGGCTGGTTATCCCAGGGGCTGTCATGTGCACAGTGACCAACCCCTGCCCCCAAATTTTTAAGTTGATGCACCATCCCTCTTTTTCTCCACATTTCTACCCATGCTGTGATTTTCACCATCATCACAGACACAAACACGGTCCCAGTTATAGCAGACCATTTTGTTTCACTTTTCACTTGATTTCCTCACAATACAGTCCTCTGTTCTCATAACATCAAGTGTTGCCGAGCTTGCATTATCTGTCATTGTAACAGAAGATCGAATTTTTGTTCATACCAACTGTCTTAATTGACCTCCTTAACAATTAAAGCTTCCTTGTCACTGCTGGTGATCCACAGTACCAAGTTGTGTCCAACGACACTCAAAATGGACAAGTGTGTACTCAGGTGGAGATATTTGAATGCTTTTGGGTTTCCTTCGCTTGAATTCCCCAAAACTCCTTTGATTTCTCCAAAACTTCTTTGTTGATGAGTTGGGATCATGCCTTTCTTGTCTAATTCTCTGTCGATCATTTCTAGGAAATAAAAGATGCAATAGGATCTGCCAGCAACTATACATGCAATTTTGTGGACTTTGCAAACGATGAGTGAGTAACAAAGTCTTGACTTCCTCGAAACGAAGTGCCATGATTATTTAACAATGAACATTTCCATAGCTGGTGAACACATCTTTCTACTTCTCTGTGGCCCTGACATACATACTTGAACTAGTTTCACTCTGGCGAAGGATTAACGCTCGAAACTTCAGCTATAGAAACTCTTTACGGTGACCGATTTACATTGGATAAAGTGGATAAAACCAAACTTATTAGACTAGGCCAACGACACACGGGAATATATGTAAAGGTGCTAGTCACTTGTAAAAGCAACTTGTTATTTTACTGGTCAAATCGAACAGATTGGTCCTCCGCCGGCCAGATCATTCACTTAGATACTAGAGCTGTTAAGAATCTTTCTTTTTCATCTATCTGTTCCAGCCATTTGTTCCGCATGCAAGTCTACCATCTGTTTGGCTGGTTCTGGCTCATGAATTTCATCATTGCCCTAGGCCAGTGTGCACTGGCAGGTGCATTTGCCTCCTATTACTGGGCTTGGGACAAGAAGACGGTGAGTGTTCACAAAAAGTTGTTTTTTGTTTTTTCTCAGTAGAATTACGTGAATCTGCAGTTGATTCTTTGTGTTGGTTCACAGTTTTTTTAAATTTATTTTTTGGCTTTTTTCACTACTTGAACGCTTTATTTTATGACTGGGAAATGTACTGCCAAACTAATTTTGTTGTTCAATCTGTATCGCAGGACATACCAAAATTTGCAGTGACAGCATCATTTTTCCGAACTCTAAGGTAGGATATTTTACATGAAATTGTTGTAGAACTTTATCTCTTAGTCATGTTTTGTGTAAACTACCCAGGTAACTTCGTAACGCTGATATTTCGTTTTTTTCTGATATTTTTTTCCTCTCTTATGGACTCTCCTGGACTGTATTTGAAGCTTTGACTGCAATTTGTCATTGTAAATGCAACCTTTTATTGCTTTACTTTCGTCGCACTGTGATCGGTTATTGTGAACTCCACCAATCTACTCCTTTTGTGTTCTTCAACGGCTCTATGTCTTATACCGCTCAACGTCTCTGCCGGCCTCTTCGTAAGATATTCAGTGTAATCATAACAGTTAAGAGTTTATCAGAGCGCCATGCGATTGGGTTTGGTTTTTAATCTGAAAGTGGTGCGAGTTTTCTGGAACAATTTCTCATCGAAGTAAAGCAAAGCCAAATTAACTCCGGGTTACTTTCGACCCTGAATTGAAAATTGTCCAAATACTAGTCGCTGATAATTCCCTCTGTCAGCTGCACCTCCACGTAATGGCCCTTTGTCCACCGCTATTTCCGTGTCTAATTGGATATGGAAGGGAAAAAACCCTGGGATCTAAGACGAGAACAAATAACAAACTAAACCCACATGTGACGCCAGGTTCAGGGCTCGAACCCAGGTCATAGCGAGTTGGTGAAGTGATAGAGCAATCAAATTTACCACTACTCTCTCTCTCTCTCTGAAGGTACCATACTGGTTCACTGGCCTTCGGGTCTCTTATCATTGCCATCGTTCAGTTGATCCGAGCAGCACTGGAGTACATCGATCACAAGCTCAGAGGTAACGTCTGTATGTTGTATATCCCCGGGTTTTACGGTCATTTCGCCCCTAGTCACTTCGCTTCGACCAAAAGTCAGTTCGCTCCATAATCGAAGTTAGTTCGCTCCATGTTACAAGTCAAGTGTATATGTGCTTACAAGATTGTACTTGCCTAACTGATGTTATACGATCTTGACGACATGTTTGTAATTGTTCGTTTCACTGGCTCTAATCTCTCTCTGTCTCCCATGCCATGCCTTTGTTGTTGGTACGCTCAAAATGCGCTCGAATTTCAAGAGGTGTATATATGCTTACAAGATTGTATGTTATAGTCGTCCGATTTATTAATACGATCTTGATGCACTCAAAATGCGCTCGTATTTCAAGTGTATATATGCTTACAAGATTGTGCGTTATAGTCGTCCGATTTATAAATACGATCTTGACGCCATGCCGATGTTGTTGATGCGCTCGTTGATCGATTGTCGATTGAATTTCAAAAACTTTAACGAACGGTCCGCTAAGCGGTTGCTGAAAGCCTACTCTTACCTGAATGCACCGAGGGACTAGGCTGATAAACCATCACAAACAAAAAACAAACGGCTCCTTTAGGAGCCACCAAATGATCAACAATGCAATACATGCCAATGCATAGAATGCATGCAGCAAAAACTGAAAACATGATAATTCTTTCCATAAAAATATAAATTCCTTGAAAAAGCCGAAGAATTTATGCAAACTTAAGTTTATCTTTATTCAAACTCGTAACCTTTTCTAAAAGGGGGTTTCGAGGGATTACAACTCATAAGAATTCGTGTTGAGGAAATTAATCGAACGAAATGATATTTCGTGTTACCAAGTGTAAGCGAACGCGATTGGAAGCTGCATTAGTTAATAAATCTGAACTGACATAAGTTCAAAATCAGTCCAACCCCAACATCAAACAAAAAGTTCATGACAATATTTCACCAATTTCTTACATGGAGCGAAGTAACTTTTGTGCGGAGCGAGGTAACTGTTGTATGGAGCGAAGTAACTGTTGTATGGAGCGAAGTGACTTCGATTATGCAGCGAACTGCCATTTTGGGGCGAAATGACCATGGGGCGTAATGACCGGATACCATCCCTGGGTAAGAACCATCGTGTTTTTATTTGTGAGTGTTCGGTGACTGATTGCTTCTTTTGTCTTTCTTAGGGCCAGGAGAGCAAAGTGAAATTACTAAGTACATCATAAAGTAAGTTGCTAACTGTTTTCTCTGCTAAATTCTCTCTGAATTCTTTCCTGTTTTTTAAGGCTTCGTGAACTATTCAACCCTAGTGAATTCCATCCCGTTGCGTCGTTGTAACAACTAGATGAATTTCAGCTATTTGAAAAGATTGTTAGAGGTTGCCTTTTTATAAATATTTTGAGGAAATCATGAGTAACTTGAATTTTTTCTTTAACTTCTAGGTGCCTTAAATGCTGCTTTTGGTGTTTGGAGAAGTTCCTGAAATTTCTCAACAAGAATGCCTACATTATGGTTTGTAAACGATTTGATAGAGTCATTTAGTTACTTAACGTTTTCCCCTCGTATTTTCATATTTTCCCCTCTTTGTTATGGTTGATCCTGCCTCCTCTTAATTTTTTAATCAAATGTACTTGGCAGAGATGTTATTCGCAAATCTTGCGAAGAAAAGTGAACAACTTAAATCTTTTTACCTCCCAAGGTCGAATTAGTTATTCTCCGTACTGTCTGTTATACAGTTTTTATGATGTTAGTTCAGAGAATTCGGTATTAGATCAACTAATGATTCCCTGATTGATATTTTTCTTTATTCTCATCACTTGTCTGCTTGATATTGTATCGATATTGTAAGGAGAAATTCTGTCTTGGTCACTCAGGGGGGTGGAGATTTATTCTCGAATGTGTTCCTCTGCTTGTGTACCCATAAACAACAGAAAGATTAAAGCTTGGACTAATTTGCCAACTCGTTTGATTCAGATTGCAGTACACGGCAAGAATTTTTGCGTCTCAGCAAAAGATGCTTTTTTCCTCCTGATGAGGAATATTTTGAGGTAAGGGCATCTTGGTGAAAAGCTTAATTATGTCGGGAAAGAATTATCATGGTCAAATGAGCCGAGTTGTGTATGCATAACTTATTTGCATAAGTTTCCGCTATCGACAATTTCACGGGGGTATCTTAGTCACAGTTGATTTGAGGATGCAACTGTTTAATAACAATTTTAATTTTCTCTGGTACAGAGACACGAGGGCGTAACTTTGTACATATTTGCAACAGCGAGGCGGTATACTCCAAACCAAGTATCGATAATAATGTGGAGAGAATTACAGAGATTTTGTGCCGGGAAGAAACTGATACCTGCTTTGGTGTTAATCATTTCTGTTCATTTGCAGAGTCGCCGTATTGGACAAAGTAACGGACTTTGTTCTGTTTCTTGGTCAGTTGACTATTGCTGCAGGCCTAGGTGAGTCTGTCTCCTTTCTGTTACAGCCTTAACTCCCACGAATGACCAAGAGAGAATTTCTCCTAACCAAATCAATGCAATATCAAACAGAAAAGTTATGACAGTAAAGAAAAATATCCATTGGGGGATTAGTAGTTGATTGAATACCAAATTCTCAGAACTAACATCATAAGAATTGCATGACAGACAGTAAGGAGAATTACTAATGAGATCTTGGGAATGAAAGGGTTAAAATAACTTGGAGGTTGATGTGTTGTTTGTAGTTCTCTACCTATGGTTTAGCCTAACACTTAATGAAAATGTACAAACCGTTTAGCCCTAATTTACAATTTTTGAATAAGGTAGATCAAAATCAAGTTGACCCCCACTCCTGGTTTAGTTCCACTAGTCTTTTCCACTGAACCGGCCCTTAATTTCAATCGTAAAAAATGTAGCTGAATGTACCTTATTAAAATTTAAGTTGTATGTGAGAACAGCAATTCGTTACTTTCCATCCTTTCCGCGAGAACCACGCCTGGTTAAACTCGTTTCAAAATGGAGTATGTTCATAGGCTGTTAAGGAGAGTTTATAACAGGAAATCGTTCACTTAACTACTTGTCATGTATAGAAACGAAGGAGTCAATTTATTTTCTATCGTTTTCAAGTAGTTTTAATCATTAGCCATTCCGTCGTTGTATTTTTATTTATTATAGTTATCTGTTTATCCTTACACAGGTATTGGGAGCTTCTATTGGTTCGAACGACAAGAAAACCTCAACTATTACTTGGCCCCTGTCATTGTAAGTATTCTGTCTTATTTTTTATAAAGAAGTACAACTGTTTATGTCTCCAAGATGACATAAATTATATGCCAACTTTCTAAGTTTCTTGACAACGATATAAGCAAACCGCTAACAAGTTTTTCGTATCGGGGTTATGCAAATGAAGTGACCATGGGAGAGCTTTCCTTTCATTGATTACTGGAACTGATGGACAGGTTGACGGACACACGGGCAGACAGGTAGAAAAACAAACACAGACAGGTTGACGGGCAGAAAGGTAGAAAGACAGACAGACAGTTAGACAGGCAGACAGTTAGAGGGGCAGACAGGTAGAAACTGGCTAGAAAGACAGACAAGCAGACAGTTAGAGGGGCAGACAGGTAGAAAGACAGACAGACGGACGGACGGACAGACAGGTAGAAAGACAGACAAGCAGACAGTTAGAGGGGCAGACAGGTAGAAAGGTAGGAAGACAGACAGACGGACGGACGGACAGACAGACAGACAGACAGACAGACAGACAGATAGACGGATAGACGGGCAGATAGACAGATCGGTAGGAAGACAGACATGATACATGTTTGATTATTGATTCACCAAGGAATGAATGGGCCCGCCTCAAGGTTTGCATGTGTCCTCTTATTCTCCTGTATTGTGTTTTTCAAGATCATCGTTGTTGGCGCCTACATGATAGCATCAGCTTTCTTCAGTGTCTACAACATGGCTATTGATACGGTCTTCCTTTCATTCTGTAAGTTTGTTTTTTTTTTCGTAGTCGCGTTTGTAATGGGTTATTAGGTATGACAAGTCTTGTTAGAAAAAGCGGCACAGATTATAACAACGTTGCCGAAAATGTTTACCGAAATTGGGTATAAAGCGAGACGAGTTTCGTTTAACTTGTGTTTGTGCCCATTTTTTTAATTCCGTGAGCGCTACATATCATACCTGGAAGATTTTGCCCTTTTTTCTCAACCCAAACTCATTGGTGGTGCAAAATATGTTCCCTTATTGGCAGGTAATGTTGTTCGAAGTAAATTAATATTTTTCCAGTTTTAGCTTTAACCGTTATTGACACTGTTCACAAAAATCAACATTTTTGTTAATCGGAATTGCTTAGACATGAATAGAATATTAGTAATGAATATTAGATCACTTTTTTCCGAAAGAAGCCACTAGTAAACTTTCAGCCGCAAGAATGTGATGTATACCTTATGCGTGAGATCATTCGCTCATTCGCTCCTTTGCTCGCTCGCTTGCTCGCTTGCTCGCTCTTATATCTATTAAGTTTCTCGTTTTATTCTTGTTATATACAGTGGAGGATTCTGAGCGAAATGACGGCTCCCCGGAAAAGCCATACTACATGAGCAAGTCCCTGAGGAAGATAATTGGAAAGAAAAACAAGAAAAATTCAGACAGCGAATGAAATGGCTGCGGCCGGATCATCAGCGGTTAAACTTCAGATATGCCGCTGCTAAATTGACTATTACCATTTGCAATCGGTTCACTTGATTGGATGAGCAGTATTTATAGCCGAAATTTTATAGACCGATTGAAGGGAAAGACAGAGGTGACTACACTAACGAGATTCGACATTCGTTTTTAGTTATTTCTCTAAACTATTTTTCATAGCTAGTTTAATACTGAAAACCCTCTCTGTGGTGCGAGATGTTTCAAATAGAAGAGCCCGCGAGAATACTTCTACTTTTATTTAATGGGAAGTGAGGCTGTTTTTCGCCTTAGTGATTGGGAAGAGTAAAGCAGTTTTGTACAAGGATAAACAGACAATTTTGACACAAACATTTTACTTAATATAATTTAATATTTTCACTTCTAAGTGCGGTAGAATCCATTTGGACAATATATTATTGCTTCTCTCTTCCAAGTATTTTGGTCAAGTAGGGTTACAGATTATCGCTGGACGAAATCTTTGTACATACAAGGCTCTCGTCGTGGAATTTGAATTTGTGTAAAGCACGTTTCAATGTATTTTGTAGCATAGCTAGTAAATTTATCTAATCAAATTCAATTGCGCGAGCTTGCTTCATATTCGTATATTCATATGCACGCTCATGACGTCAGCAAACAAATCCCTCGGGGAAAAAATTTTTCTTCGGGTTGAAAATGTTATAAAACAATTGGTTCATACGTCAGCTGTACGTTCATCGAGATATGAAGCACTTGGGAAGTTTGGAGAGCACTCAAGAAGCAAGAGTTGCTCTCAGCTACGCCTCGAGCAACTCTTACGCATCTTTCGTGCTCTCCAAACTTCCCGCGTGCTTCGTATCTCGATGAACGCACGCTGACATATGAACCAATTGTTAAGTATCATTGTTAAACATAGACCAGGCCTGAATACAGACAGTGTGTAAATAGAGAACTTTATAAACTATGTTTTAGGTTGCAAATCGAGGTTTTTTCCACTTGCATTAGAGATGGAAAATTTCGGTCATCAAACGTGCTGGGAAAACGTCGCAGAAAAGCAACAAGGCTTCAAGGTCGTTTTCTTACACGTTTTGCTTTCCGTGTGTGTTGTGCGTGATTTTCGTTTCGCTATTCGTTGACCAAAGCCTCAGGACCCTAACGACCGTTAAAGCTGGCTAAGAGTCCCAAAAGGTTGGATGTTAAAGTAATAAGCTTTGCACCAAATGTTTGATTTAATTTTCATGTGTTAGAGTATTGTGCAGTAGAAGGAAGTTTGCTTGCACGTAGAAGGTTTAATATTTATTTAACGTATTAGATCGATTGTTGAGTAACTTGTGGGTGAAGCCTCCCCCAGAACAGGGTTGTTTTGTGCATATAAATTATTTACTAGCAACCTGTACAAGCATTTGTTACTCTTTCCTTTTTGAGAGTCATTTATGCTGTACAGACAAGACAGTATAAGACTGGCTATTTTCTGCTGGGTATAGGCGCCATATTTGGTCATTAAATCCTTGCGCAAATGCTTGCAGAATATTCGCAATTCCAGTCAACAAACGCTTCATATGATATATAACTTGGCAAGCACTTTCGCAGAGCGTATATTCAATGTTTTTTTTGTTTTTTCTTTTTTTTTTCCGACTAAATAAGACGCTGCTTTCCCGTACTTTCCATGACTTTACAGGTCAATACAATGGAATCTTGTATAGTAAGTTGTTTAACCAAGAGATGGTTTGGAGTGTTAATAAAGAGCTTGCGTGGTGTTATTATCTATAGATTATCGTTTCAGATCACGATAACGTAGAATTTTGTGTTGTAGTTGACTCTTAGACTGTCCACAAGTAATTTTTTACTGTACACGCGTGTTCCGTGGAACTTTCTTTTCCTAGTCACGAATACAGTTTTTCCAGTTGTTAAGTAAGATTTCCCCAAACGGTAATCTTTTACAGACCCTGTGAGCTGAAATTGTTATTTCCTTCAAACAATGTAATCGCACTACAAGGAAAAGAAGAATGGAATGCATTGAGAGAGGATTGAGTCACTCATTATGGAGTCTTGTGGGGTGTGTTTTCTTCGTTTTGTTATCATTTTTTCATAAGGTAGCAATCTGTTCCCTTCGGATCGTATTCTTGTTTACCTCTCTTCGAAGGAAGTAATAGCAACTAAAGTTAGAACGGGTTAATTTAGTATTATAAACTGGGTTGATAACGTAAATTGGCCACCGTTTAGAGTTTAAAAGCTAATGTCTCGAGTGTTAGTCCTTCGTCAGGGCGCTTTAAAGTTAGAACGGTTGAGACCTTCCCAAGCCCCAAGCCCCAAGCCCCAAGCCCTAAGCCCCAAGCCCCAAGCCCCAACCATCACAGTTACTTAATTTATAGCCAGTAAAAGGAAAAAGAAAAAAAAAATAAGGAAAAATTCTTCATCGAAATTTGTGACAGGTTACTGAAAATGACGTCATAAATAAGGACACATTATGCAAACCTCAGACGAACACGTTTGATCAGCATGTTTTCTTTCGAAGCTATATTCCAGAGTGCTATATTTGGCGTTATTAGCGGAATAACTACTGTACTTCTATTAAAAATCTTTGAGAACAAACTTACTGGCAGAAGAGAGGCCGAAATATTCCAGGAAGAAATCAGAGTTGAAGGAAGACCGAAAACACCTCGGGAACATGACGAAACGTTTTGATGAAAAGGTGAGTCTAAAAACCTACTTGTTGTTTTCGTTCTGCGCTACTATTGCACTCCGTTTGCTAACAGATCTCCTGATACAGACTAGCATAAAACGTAAAGAAAACAGTTGTAATTAATATATAAGCAAGAATGTAAGTAAACATGCATCGCAGTCGTTCGAGAAACTTGAAAGGAAAGGTGAAACCATGACGGGATGGCCGACCGCGCCCTGAAAGATGAGGGAAACTGAGAACTACTACAGGTTCGCAAGTCAAAATGGCGGAAAAGTTGGATCCAGAGAACATACTGTTAATCACAGACTCGTACAAAGTAAGACAAGTCTTTCAAGAGGCTGTATTTCACGGTGAATCACTTAAAGCCTACTTGTGCTCTTTACCTGCCTTGCAGTGCAGAAACTGTTATTAGTGCTTTAGTTTGTAAAATTTCATGTTTCCGGTTTGATTCCAGAAGTAGTGAACGATCTGTTTTCGAACGTTTTGTCTTCATCTGAAACAGGTCTCTCATCATAAGCAGTATCCATCAGGTACGACCATAGTATTCTCATATTTTGAAAGCAGAGGAGGAAAGTTTCCAGAAGTGTGTTTCTTCGGCTTGCAATACTTGATAAAGGTGTGTTGTTTGAAAAACGCTTTCACTTTTGATTTCGCGGTTTGTCGATTTGTTTACAAGGCTTTGACGGCGCAAACTCTGTGAGTTTTAGCTCTTAGTATTTTAAGTGGACTTCATGAGCAGAAATAATTTATTTTAGTACAATTCATTGTATATCTTCTATTTTTTGCGTCATCAACGGAGCAATCGTCGAAAAAATTAAACGTTTAACCTGTAATAAATAATGTGCTTGAAATGTCGAACTGTTGTTGGTAATGGCCCCAAATGCACATCGGAAGTGTTTAAGTTCTACAGCTGTATTTGTATAAATTTTAGATTATTTATAATGATCAATTCTTCAATTCTGATTAATTCTGTCTGTGTCATAGAGATGGCTAGAGGGTCAAGTGGTAACAGCAGAAAAAATTCAGCAGGCAACAGAATTCTACAAGTTACATTTTGGTTACGATCTATTCAATGAAGAAGGTAAGCACATGTTAATCTATAGTGGGCATTTTTCCACCTTAAATTGTGGTAAATAAACATTTGCTAATAATCAATATTATTAATTGTCAGGAATGCATGAAAAGTCATTAATTACTCAAGGTGCTGTCTTTAGAGGCACTTGTAATAAGGACTTGGAGGTCATTGGTTTGAAAATGTGGCAGATTGCAGATTAATGGCTGCAAATTTTGTGGGACTCTGGACTCCACCTGTCTAGAGGCTTAGACATTGGACTGCAAGTGAATTTTGATTTTTGGATGATGAATTTCCTTCCAGGCCTTGTTGGCAGTTTGAACAATCTTTTCCTGATGGACATTTCTCACTAGGAAAGTCTAAGCTCTCAAGGTTGCCCAAAATATAACTAATACTTACTTGATTTTACCTTCTGCAAACATTTCTGTACATTTTTCTGTCTCTAAGAAAATCCAGTTATAAAAAAGATGTCTAAACTTAATCACAGTAAACCCCTACCACATCAAGTTTTCATATTGTATGGATCCATATTAGCCCTAAACAAGCATCACATTAATAGGTTAAACACCGTCCTCCTTCTCAGTTGGTAAACAGTAAAAATTTACTGTATGTTGTGCCACTTATTTCCTCCTAAAATTACTGAAATTCTTTAAAATCCAAAAGGTAGAAGGGTCCCTCTACCAGTTGCCTATCCAGCTTAAAGGGAGAAAATTGTTTATTGACCATTTAAAGATTTGCTAGCTATAATCTAAATTCACCCTCATTAGTAAAATAAGGACATGTAGCCTGCACCTGCTAAAGATAATCAGTTTTTAATTGAAAGTATTATTTTTTTTTTTCAAAGGTTGGAAGTACATCTTGGAAAAGCATGGAGGAAAGCTACCTCTCAGAATAAGAGCTGTACCTGAAGGTTCAGTGGTTCCTGTTAAAAATGGTAAGCACTGACCCCTTGTTTATTTATTTATTTATTTTTTTGTTTTCAGATCTTTGACTTGGATCAGTCAGTGGAAATATGTTGACATAGTGGGAAAAGCTTAGTTGAATTAGCAAGATTTCCAAGTAATTTGAGTGATTTGTTTGATAGTGATAAAGTTGTAACCCATTAAAGTCTTGTTCTTTCATAGATAATTTGGTTTTATATACTGAGTTGATAACATAAACTGGGCCACCATTTAGGATCTCTACAGCTGTATTAGGGTAAATGTTTACTACCGAATTAACCTTTGTGTGTTTTCCAGTTTTGTTTACAGTTCAAAACACAGATCCCAATTGTCCCTGGCTCACAAACTGGGTTGAGGTAAGAAGAATGAATTATTTTACAACTTTATTTATAGAGGTTGTGTGGGACCAGTAGATTTCCAACACAGGCAGTCAACTTTCTCTGCCTACCTACCTGTGGGCAAGAAATTTGATTGAATAACAAAGAGAGAGCCAAAATTTCAAATCAATTTTAAACCTCTAATTCCTATCAGTGACCAAGACAGAATATCTCCCTACATTATTAATACTAAGTGAAGCAGACAAGTGATGAGAATAAAGAAAAATATCAATTAGGGGATTATTACATGTAGTTGATCTAATACCAAATTCTCTAAACGAACATCATAAGAATTGTATGGCAGATCATAAGGAGAATTACTAATGTGATCCTGGGAGTGAAAGGGTGAAGGGATCTTAAAAGTTTTCACAGAAAAGTTCCCTGAAAATAACACTTGGCATTTCTATTTCAATCAATCAATAGCATTAATCAGCAGTGTGTGAAATTTTGTTCAACACTGGCGATCACTTTCCAAAACATGTTGTGTTTTTTTTCCCCATTTAATCCCTCAGTTTTACTTTAATTATTTTTTTAATTCAGAGTGATGTTGCCTGTTTTCAAATGAGTAGTTCAAACCATTCACCCTATGGTGGCTATACTTTGACATGGGCTCTTTTTTTTTTTTTTTCTCTGTAGACACTTCTTGTTCAGTGCTGGTATCCCATGACAGTTGCCACAAACTCAAGAGCCCAGAAACAGATCATAGCTGAAGTACAGTACCTATAAATAAATTATATTATTTATTGACTGACAAATACTACTGTGCCCCATAAAGGATATCAACAATCTTTTTGAAGTTGAAATCTTGTTCTTATTGACAACTCAAATTTTTACTCCAAAACTTGAAGTTTTCTTATCCCTAAATACACAATTCAGATTTCTTTTGTGAAAATCCAACTTGTTAATTTTCTCAAAATCAACTTAGATTTTAACTGCAAGTACTCTAATACAAGTTCTCTAATTTCAAAGTACACATCTTTACTGCAAAAAAAATGATGAGTTGTTAATTTTTCAGAGAAGTAACACTTATTTTTTACCGTGAAATCCAAGTTGTTAATTTTTCTTATAAGGAACTCTCATTCTCACCAAAAGAATGAGAATTTAAATTTTTCAAAATGCAACTCTGATTTTTATTGCAAATATCAGAGTTTTGGTTCTCCAAATGATTTTCAGTAAAATCAGCATTTTTAATTCTTTTTAGAAACAATTTGCATTTTTAATGCAAAAATCTGGGTTGTGCATCAATAAGGAAATAATATACAACTCAGATTTTTGCATTCGATCAAAACTGAAAACAGCCTTGCTCTTAATTAGTATTTCTGATCAATTATTGTTTCAATTTCTAGTACCTTCTTGAAACAGCAGACAATTTGGATGGACTCCCATTTAAACTGCATGATTTTGGTTTCCGTGGCAGCACATCTGTTGAGGTAACTTGAAGGTCCTGTAATTGTAAGTTAATATAATTACCTTTCAACAGTCTATCAACTGAGTCCAGTAACGGCCTAAGCAATCCATCCATCAATTTTCCAGTTTAATTTGATTTGAATGCTGTTAAATGTTAATCACCCCTTGAGTTGTAGCAGCCTGTCCATGACAATTTTTTATAACATTCTTGCCATTTCTTTTATCTGCTGTAAACCATGACCATTTTTAATTGGAAAGGTCAGGTGACAAGTACAGGAAACTGTTATGCAAAGAACCTGTTCATGTGATTTTTTAAATTACATGTCTACATGAAAGGAAAAATTGGAATAATCTTTTCTTTCAATTTGGAGAAAACCTCAGTCAATAATAACTCCTGTGAATTTTATATTAATGCTAAATATTTATTAAGAATTGTTTTCTTGCAGTCAGCATCCCTTGGTGGTGCAGCTCATCTTGTAAACTTCTGTGGAACTGATACAGTGGCTGGCATGGTTCTAGCCAGGTAGGTGTATCTGCCTTTTTCAGCACCTTACCTGTTAGTCCTGGTTTTTCGCTAGCACAGCATTGCAAGTTCAAGCATAAGCTTCTTTTTCTTGTGCACTCATCACAAACACAGGAATCATTGTAATGCACATTGCAGCTGTAAAACTGAGGGACAGTGCTGCAACTATGCAAACATGTGTTCAGGTTGTATACCACACACTGTTTAATACTGAAAAAAATGTTTGACATGCACATGATCTTCATGAGGTCCGCCATACTCTGTAGAGTGGCTTGTTCTAATGCATCTCCTTAAAGCAACGATCTTAATGAAATAAACAGCACTGAAACTTCCAGTTGATACTAGTTTGTAATTACAGTGTTTTTATAGTGTGAACTGTCATGCACAGTCTGTCTAGTCTCATGTTTACCAATTTGTTTTATCAGTGAGGGTTTCACTGTTACTTTTGCAAAATATAGAATGCTCTAATCTGGCAGCTAGTTACACAATTCTCATTTGTCTTGCATTTAGAATTACATGCAACCCCACTGCAGTTCTTTTTAAATTTCTGTGATGTAAGCTCACACTTCAGTGATACATTCAGGTGCATGACTCTCTCTTTGAGGGTTTGAGTGGCAGCAAATATTTACTCTGCATTCATCATTATTAAGTTGCTGTTGTATTTTGAAGTATCACTTTTACATGTAGCCTCAATCTCAATGCAGTTTTTTTTCCATAGGAATTATTATGGCTGTGAAATTGCTGGTTTTTCAATCCCAGCAGCTGAACACAGGTATATTCAAGGTCATGATTAAACTGAGTGTTTTATTTGTTTGTGTTAATCATTCAGTAATTTGTGTTTTATTGGCTCTTTTTTGCCATGAACAGTACAATTACAACTTGGGGGAAAGAAGGAGAGAAAGAGGCTTTTAGGAACATGTTGGAACAGGTGATATTTTTTTTCTGTAGCACTATTTTAAGTTAATGGGAATACACTTGTCACAGACATCACTAAACATTGCAAATTCACTGAGTCAAACTTGAGTCTAGCTATGGCTGACCATAAGTAGAACTGACAGGTGTCAATTACATAACTCTTGGGATGGTTCCATGGGCCAGTCCATTTAAGGGTTACCCCCTTCCCTTCCCTCCCCCCAGCATTTTGTCAGGGGTCACTATCAGTTTGCCACTACCCATTTAAAGAATGCACTGTGGGAGTAATGTGTGCTGCTCAAATTATCACACAATTACCTGGGGCCTGTTTCTCAAAATTTCAGGTAATTTTATGGCACAAAAGCATGGCTTAAAATCTATTGCATTTTTTTCATACAGTTTCCAACTGGATTAGTTGCTTGTGTCAGTGATAGCTATAACATTTGGTGAGTTTTGCACATTCATGCTTGTTCTTTTGTCAATTAAAGACTTTTCACCCGAAGGACTTCATCTGATGTTAATTATTTTTGTTAGACTACAAGTAGCCCCTCATTCGCGCTAGTCCGAAAAAAAATCAGTCAAAAAAGGGCGTTTTCCGCCGCGCAGTGTCCACCATTTGTTTTTCATTTGTCGCTAATTTTTTTTTTGGATTACTGAAAAAGAGGGACTGCTTGAAATCTAGAGAATTGTTTGCGGTGAGTAACGTATCCAGCTTACTCTGTTACACAAGTCAAACTGAGAGGTAATTCCTGAGAAATGAATTTTTCCCCACTTCTTTGTTTGATTTTACAGGGAGGCTTGTGAAAAATACTGGGGAGAAGACTTGAAAGATCTTGTTGTAGATCGGGGAACAAACAAAAAGGGTGAGAAGATGTGCTAAAACTTGTTGTTGAAAATAATAGGGGTTGGTATTGCACCTGTTGAGCCATACTCGCCCCAGTGCTAAGACTGATGCATTGACTTGATTTTAACCTTACATCAAAATAATTTGGTTTCGTCAACTGAGTTGATAAATGTGAATTTGCCACGGTAGACAGTATCCGGCTAAAGCTGACGATTCGAGCGTTAGCCCTTCGTCAGAGCCAACGACTAAGGGCTAACGCAAGAAACGTCAGTTTTCGAAACTCTTTACGGTGGCCAGTTTGAATTTATCATCTCAGTTGATAAAATATAATTTCAAGTAATAACCTCACCGATGCTGCATCACAGTTTCTTCAGAAACTTACCCTTCCATTAAATTACATCAAGCCTCTTTTAAAACTGTATGCATCCTTTTATTTTGGATGATTCATTTGCGAATTTCTGATTTATAATATTATTTGTGTCAGGTGTGCTCGTCATTCGTCCAGATTCAGGAAACCCTGCAGAAGTGGTGGTCAAGATATTGAATATTTTGTGTAAGTTGAATTTTTTTTATATCACTTTTTGTCAAGAATTTCTTTTCTTTTTTCCATATTGTGAACGTTGATGAAATTTCTGTTTTCTTGCAGATAGAAAATTTGGAGGGGAGAAAAATTCTAAAGGCTTCCACTTACTACCACCTTACCTTAGAATAATCCAGGTAAGGATTAGGAACATTTTTTTCATTCAAAGCGTTATTTTCTTGCATTTTCTGCTTCACTCCTCACCAACGAATGTATTTCGAGAGATTTGACTCGTGTCCGACGCAACCTCTAAGAAAAGCATTGTAGTCGTCAGGAATATGATCGATACAGTTCTTTTAGACACGTTATCCGTGTGAGGCTCTGACATTTGTGAAGGGTATTGAAAGCATGCTAGATACCTTGAATTAAATGCACTTAGCCTCTTTCAAGTAAGCATTCCTTCGTGTGTGATTTTGCTAATCCTCTCTAGCATAGAAAGTCTTCAACGCTATTTTAGGTATGTAATCCATGTGACTATATTCCGCATCCAGACGACGAAAAAACGAATTTACAAATTCGTGTAATTTTCTGCAATTATTTAGGGTGATGGCATCAGCTATGAAACCCTGTCTGAAATTTTGGAAAACATGAAGAAGCACAAATGGAGCGCTGATAACATCGCATTTGGAAGCGGAGGTTCGCAAAAGACTCCTTTGTGAAATGTATCAATTAGTTGGTGACCGAGCTTGAGGTCCATACTGTAGATTAAGGAACAAGTTTCTTCTGCGCGGGTACACTTCACGCAGGCCATAAAGCCGAGCAAAAACAAAAGGGGTTCCGTAACCTACAGTACGGACCGAGAAAACGAGGTTGATAATATATTTATTTTATCTGTGGCTCTAAAGAGGAGGGGAAGATCTCAATTCAAAGAAATTTTTTTTAAGTAAGCGGGCTGCACGGTGAAGATTGACCAATCGTAGCGTACGTAGTAACAAAGAGGTATAATGATAAGGATAAGTACAGGCGGGCGGAATACGAGATGGCCTGGGGATAACAGTGCTGAATTCCCGATCTAAAGGTCTGGGTTTGAAATCTGCCCGGGTAACTGCGTTGTGTTCTGTTCTTCGTACAGTAGTTGATGAAATATTATTTTTACCACAAGAGGAATGTAATGTCTGGTTTTGTCCAAACAGGTGCTTTGTTACAGAAATTGGATCGTGACACTCAGAAATGTGCCTACAAGTGTTGCTTTGCAGTTATTAACGAAAAACCGGTAAGTACTGCTGGTTTATATTGAACTCTTTCGGTTCAAGGATTTGTCCTTCGCCGTTTTTTTGGCAGGCTCAACGTAGGTTTCTCTTATGCTCGAAGAAATTTTATCCTTCACCTGGCCGGCCAAGGCCATGAAATTAGTCTGCCTTCATGGTTCATTTGTGAGAGATTTTCGAGATAACAGTTTTCTTTTCCCCAACTCTGAAAATCCCCGACCTTGTAGTGTATTCCGTGTTTCCCTGTTCCGTAAAGGGTACACCTGTCAGGTGTAGGATCCCTCAGAGTCCGTTTGCTTCAGTGTGGAAAATGGTTACCAAAACCTGGAGTGTCCAAAGTAATCCGGGATTTCTTTGTTTTTGCCTTACCTCGCTCTGTGATTGGTCCAGAAAACTCGCGACAACCTCTTAACCAATGAGATGCAAAACGAATTTTAATCGTGACTTGATCACCCACGTTTTCGCGCGCTTTTGATGGTTTGCCTTTCTTTGGCATGAGTTCTCGTTGGCTGACGATTTTTTCCCTTTGTCATGATTTGCTGTAGTGATTTTATTTGGTTTCAGTTTTTTAACAGTTTATTGAAAACTTCTCTAAAAATACACTTTCAAGCTACAAGTCCTTGCCTGCTTTTTTAGGTGAACGTGTATAAGCAACCCATCACTGATTCTACTAAGCATTCAAAGAAAGGGTTGTTGTCGCTCGAACTGGATGACACAGGAAAATTCGTAACGGTTGAGGAAGGAAAAGGAAATGCAGACAAGGTACTATTTAAATTATTTGTTTGTTTTTCGTCGGCGTCCTTTTCAATTAACCCTGTTACACTCAAGATCAAAACATCTATTCTTTGCACTGTGTTTTACATTCCTCTTTATTTTTGCTTGGGAAGTTGGTGCTAAAACATGCTGTATTCCTTTGTGAGAAGAAATTCCTTTGTAGTCACTCTCGGAAGTTGAAGAATTAACCCTTTCGCTCCCAAGATCTCATCAGTAATTTTCCTTACTGTCTGCCATAAAATTCTTATGATATTAGTTAAGAAAACTTGGTATTGGATCAACTGATAATCCCCCAAATTATCTTTTTCTTTATTTTTGTGGTTGTAATTGCAATGTTTACAAATGCGGAGACGTTTAAACGCAGTGTTAGTCGGTTTCTCATTTCGTTATTACAGATGTTGCTTCTTTAGGAAATGCCCTGCTTTCGGAAGTGTGTCGTCTCTGTGGCTTTCTATAGTTTAGTTGTTTGTATCCATGATTCACATGCTTATAAACAATTATTGGATGAGGCTTTTGTGATCTCCAGAATAATCAAGGTCTAGGTAGGGGTTATCAGCCGAAGCCTTCGGCTTCCTCATCCAATAATGTTTTATTATACATTGAACGAAAGTAAAAATGGTCACGAGAGTGAGTGGAACTGACGATTTATTTCAAAACGTGTAAAAATATACAAATCAGCAAGCAACATAAAGCGCGCGAACTTTACATGGTTACCCTAAGAAATCATGCACCGCGGTCCTATATGAAATGATCACCCGTGACTTTGAATGTCCTTGACATGATTATTGTATAACCTGCCCTTACATGACGTCCCAGGCGCTGATTTAAAAAAATTCACTGTACGCTTTCTGTCAATCACATAAGAGATAGTGAGATGAATGTATAATAATAGGAATAACATAGTTTCTAACTAAAGGAACTTTGTTTTTGGACAGGATCTTCTCGAGACTGTTTTTGAAAACGGTGTCCTTGTGAAGGAGTATACTTTTGCACAAGTCAGAGAGAATGCTGAGATCCCTTTGGTAAAAGAAGCAAAGAAAAACAAAGAAAAGATGTAGTACTTGTTTGCATTCGTGTAAATTTAATTTTCTATTTGTTGTCTCTTCACTCATAGCATGCACTTGTTTAGCTGGAGAACTCAGATCTGTTAATGAAAGCCAGCTTGACTGGTCTAAGAATTGTATGATAAGATTGGTAGAATGTGCGATCACACTTTTGTTTAGAGTACTGTTTTGACTGAGGAGAAACTTAATAACTTACAAGACGTATCCTTCTGTATTCCACTTGAAATGGTAAGCGTAAGAGGCTATCGGCGGTAACTATGCAGTCAGGTGAATTTAGCAAGATCTCAAAAAACGGTGACAGTAGTTCTCACACCGTAAGAGTTTCCCTCCTCGCTGTGTAAGCTTGAAGGAACGAGCAACTCTGGAGGGTACGTGGAGGGAATGAAAATTGTAATTTTTTTGTGTCTGGTGTGAGTTGCTGGTTCCCTTTCCCTATTTTTCCTGGTGTTTATTACACTGCACATGCGGTTTGACACCATCTCGCAGTGTGGGAGGAGGGAGAGATCTCTTTTTAATTGAGGGTAGAGTGTAGTCCGTACTGATGGGAAGACTCGAAAAGACGCAGGTGATAGCACTTTGTGAATCAGGACACTGTACCAGGTAAGAGGATAGTTATTATACCTTAATCTTGATTGGTAGGTCAGACCATGTGGTATCCATAGATATCCAGTGAATGAAGCGCTTGAGTTGTTCACTTCCTGAAAAATTACTTGGGGATGAGTTTGATTCGCTTTGTCTGCTGTGCGTTTAGAACTTTAAACTATTTGTGTACGTAGCTTTTAAAATTTTAAAATTTGGGAATCATTTATAAGCAGTTCATAAGCACCGAATCATTTCGTTTAGAATGGTAGTGTTTATTCTACAAAACTTAGCACAGCAATAGTGCGAAAACATATTTCATACCAGTACGAATGTCAAGTATCTTACAAATACATAGAGAGAAAGTGTGCGAACAGTTTACATAACACATGAAAGGGGATTTGGCGTAAAAGAGAGAACGCTGACCACAAGGAAAGCTTTCGTTAACTTACAGGCAGAGCTGATCAAGTGATAGCTTGTAAATAAAGGTGTTTTATCTGCAGGCTTGTCATTTAGAGGCCTCTTTCCTGTTTTTTAGTAACGCATATAAATCACCTTCGTGTCTTGAAGTTTCTTAATGAGAAGAACTTTGAAAGTAAAATGATGAAAATTGTATCGTTGCGTTTGGTGATAATTTTCTGAGGTCAGGAAAAGTAGACTCTATGAGTTTTCCAAATTGTTGTCCCAAGAAGGCTGCCTTAGACCTTTGAGATATTTATGGAGCTTTTTTTTCCTCCCTATGGTGGAGGTTCTTTTGGCATCTTGCACATAAGTGAACATCTAAATATTACAACCGCAGAGTATTTAATTTGAGTTTATCCGTGTTATTAAGATAGGTGAACGTCAACATATTTTTAGAAAAATTGCAATTTCCACTAGAGTGTTTAAATCTATGGCGGCATTTTCATAATACTTGGGTAGTAATTGTAGTCGGTGTAATGAGCCAATCAGAATTCAAAGATTTTCAATCGCGTTTAGCCGTGGGAAAGTAGCGAAACGTAGATCACAATTGTTTGAGTTTTGTAACAGAGCGGTCAAACGACCGCGCATGCACGAGCGTTGCGCTCTAAAGGGCGTGCTTAAATAAGCTTTGTGTTCGGAAAGTCGAGTTTTCCTTTTTCCTTCATTTGTTCCCTTTTAAAATTTCCATGAACGTTTCCATTTTCTTTAGCTTATTTTGCGAGACAACGGTTGTTTCTTATGTCTTTCTATGAAATTTTGCGCGAAAAATTGGCGCGTGGACCGCCAAAATTGATTCCCTTGCGCATGCACGACGTTTGACCGCTTTGTTGGGTTTTTCATATGATTGGACGAGGATAAGACAGCGTTGTTCAGGTTGGCTCGTTCCCATTCCCTCCCTGTTTTCTTTTTACTGTTAACTCTTAAACTCGACCTTTAATACTCTTCTTATAGATGTGAAATTTTTTATAGATAGCAATGTCAACATTATATAGTCTAATGGTGTTTATTTCCTTAGGAGTGAGTGATACTAAAAAAAAAACGCATTTGATATTTATATTCCGTAGGTGTAAGAATTATGATGTCAATAAACTCTTTAAATTTAAGTCCGGTTTCTATGCTATTGTTTTCGATTTTCATCATATGCAGTACAAACATCGTTGAAAAATGTCTTTAATCTAGAGAAATTTTTTTTCTAAGTCTGTCACTATCGGGAATCCTATGGAATCCAGTAGATTCTGATCATGATGATCGGAAATCATTAGACAATGATGGATGACATTTTCAGGTACCTATCCTTAGTGTATAGACTTCTGACTGCAATTGCTTGTTTTACTCAGAGACTGAATACGCGTCACCTCATCAACCAATGCGCTTAGCTGTGATTGGTACAATTTTTTTTTTCAACATTTTTTCTTATAACCTTTATCAGTCTTTACTCCAAGGATCACTACATGCCCATGCGTGGTTCGATTAGTCTAGACATCAGAGACCTAAGGAGGTTAAGAAAACCACGAAGACAACGGCAACGGGAACGTCACTAAACAAAAGGTTAAATGAGCAGAACAATGGCTGTGCACGTGCGCTATAAATCTTTGTAAATTTCTTTGCGTCCTCTGCAAAACAACAACGTATTATGACCAAACTTTGCGTTGTCTGGAGAACGTGAATGACAACGGCTTGTTTTTTAAATTTCAATTTCTAATTTAACGCTGTGTTCAATATTCAGTTTCGAGATAGTTTGGACAGTGAGAAACAAACTCGATGACTTTAACCGACGTTGTCCACGGCGTCGCCGTCGTCGTTTCTTAAACTCCCTCTTGATTAAACGGCGACGGCAACGAGGACGTGGACGGGGCAAACAAAAGATCTAATGTGAAAGAACAATTGCTTAGCACGTGCATCTCCAGATTTTGTACATTTCAGAGCCGTCCTCTGCGAAACTGCAGCGTGAAATGACTAAAATTTACTTGGTCTGAGAACAGAAACCCCAACAGCAAATTATTTAAGTTTCTATCAAGAAATCAACGCTACTCCCGAAGGTTTTGATGATTTTGATGTGTGGCGTCGTAAGAGACGGTAAACACATCCAGCAAGTTACATAACGCCTACTGGCGAAATCTTCCAGTCCTTTTTCAGCGTCAGAGTGGTTTCCTTTTACGAAACAATTTCAAGAATGTAATTGCTAATAAAATTTTCCTCTTTTCACATTCAAATTCATCATAGTTTCTTTTCTTTTGATTCTTGAATACCTGGCTGGGCGTGGAAACAAAACTGTGCGCCAAAGCAGTGACGTACGAGCCTATTATTGGTATATTCATCTAAAATTGTAGAATTTTCCAACCACGTTGTCCACTAAAGAGTGAAGATGTGATGTTTCTATTTTGAAAGTTGCACTCTGAAAGGAAGAAGATACACGAACTGCTTGGTACTCGAAGAAAAAGTGACCCTCCCTATAGAAAATATTACCTTAAACTCCTTCAGAAAGCAGAGCAAGTCGCAACATCTCAGTTAAACGAGTCGACGCGTATCAGCTGTTTGGTTTGCGCGGCTTCTCAACTCAAAGTTCGATTGAATAACGGTGTCGGCCTCCTCAGAAGTAGAACTTGAGATAGTGATAAACTTCCGCGGAAATTCAATGTAATCCTGAGGTTGACCACTAAAATAACATGCTATTATTATCAATATACGCGGCCAAATAGAAAATCGGCCTCTTCAAAACACACGCTCAGCGGGCCGCAAAAGACTGACAGCGGGCTGCTAATGCATTATCAGCCCTACAGCTGATTGGTGCTTGCTTCATCATCCGATGGATTTTAACCAATTAGAGTAAGCCTAGTGTTGACGCGGGAAAACCATTCATTTGCAAAACTCCGGTTTTGAACTGCAGTTTTTTCAGTCGTCGAATCGTCTTCGAGCGAAAACTGAAGTAATGGAAGAAATTAGCAGTCAAAACTCAGATTGAAAATACAAAGAGAGCCACTTCGTGGGGGATCAAAAAATTCGAGAAATGGTGCGACAAAAAGCTGAAAGTTGACTTCAATTGTGTAACACCGGTTGAGCTAAATGAATTACTGCGGAAATTCTACGCTGAAGTTAACTCGGGAAAAGGCCAACCGCTAACTTTGAATTCGTCATTCACTTAGCTTGTATTATTAAAACTCGCATTCTTGATATCATTTGGCCTTGTTTATCTTGCTTGAATCCTCTTGGCTGTGCTCTTGGGCTTCTCAAACTTATCAACAGTGTTCGCATGGCCAGAAATCCATGACAGCATAGCTGCCACGCACGTGCATCGATGTCGAACTCGGTCTTAGGTTACAAACGAGTCGCAAAATCACTACAAGGAAAACAGTGCACTTTCAGCTAACCTTCTTTCAATAATTGCTTGAAATGAGACTCATTAGTACCGAAACTAGAGCTTGTTTATTCGCCATGTTTTCATTAATGGTCGATCGGCCGAGAGCACGCGTTGGACTAGGTTTGAATTGTTACGTCATCGTTTTCAGATCGTTTTCAAATTTATCCGGATAAGGCGTCCACACGGAGGCGCTTAGCCAGCGTTTTCAAATTTATCCGTTTTCGGTGTGTGAAAACGCCGTTTACGTGTGGGCGGAACCCGTAACCGTATAAATATTTATCCGTTTTCAAATTTATCCGGATACGTGTGGACGGGGCCTTAGAACACATCACATTGACCCAACCAGGTCCTAACCTCTGACCCCAGATCCGTTTGTGCGTAGTGGAAAATAACAAGTGCATTTAAAACAAATAGAATGTTAAAATAATGCAAGTAGATAATAGTGTCTGAAATAAAAACCGAAATGAAATTAGATAAAGAGGGAAATTACTAATCAATATACTGACAATATATAAAGTACGAAGTTCTCGCTGTTGTCCTGAAACGCATATGATTTAAGAAAAACTGTTACGGCACTTGACACTGATAATAAATGTCTTCTCTTTGCTTTCCACATGCAACTCTGTAATCTAAGTAACGCACTTTTCAACGGCAACAGCAAAAAACCTGAACCTATTAACCTATACGTAGGTTATTACCAAGAGAAAATAGTGACAAAGTGACATTCATCAATCCTAGACGTCGAGCCAAGACGCATCCTTCAGTTGAGAAGCCTTGAAAAACACCCACCAGCCCTAATGAAAAACAATATCCAAGGCAATATCGTTTAAATGAAGTGTTTTTAAGCCCTAGAATAGCTGAAAGAGACACTGACGTTTCTTGTAGTTCGTAAGCACTTTCCACGTGCAAGGCAAATCATACGCATGAATATTAATTTTGAACGCAATTTGAAATTCAAATTAGTTTTATAGCTTTGAAAGGCAGAAGCAAACATTGTTTAGAAAGAAAGGCACCGAAGGCTACAGATCGTGGTAAGTACTGTCTGTTTCAAAACAACCGACACAATACTATACATTCGCTACTGTTTCCTTAACATAAGTAAGTTCTTGGAGTTTAAAGCGTCCCACATCTCTCAATATAATCATGTCCTGCTTAACTGATGTGACTTGGCGGAAGGAAATTTAAATGTGTGCGATAGAAAATGAAAAACTAGGGATTTATAAAGAACAGCCACAAACAGTGAGAACGGTTTGACTTTTTGGATTTTTTTTACAACTGCTAGGCTTGATCAATAGATAAATTGCTTTAAACCAGCAGTAGTAATTTTGATGATTATTTGAGTGAGTTACCTGGCTTATGGAGTATAAAAATCCGGCCTACAACAGAGTCAATCGCCGTAAAACTTTGTCTATCGACCCTGTTTGCGCAGAAATCGAACTGCAATAGCGAAAAATGGAAATTGAGTGTCTACTACACGAGCTTTATTGAACCCGTTTTTTCTATCATTGGAAGGAAGATGATAAGAGATGTATAGCAATTTAACCAGCTTTTTAGCGTTCCATCTTCAGTTCACGTATTTCAGTTTCTAACTTTCACTACTGATGATGGATTTCAACATGCAAAAAAAAATTCTCTTTGTTTTACAGGAAACGGCAAGCCTAAGTGTTCATCGCTTTTGAGCGGTAAGATTTTCATTCAAAGATCAATCACAGCATAAGTGGAGCTTCTTTCTGTAAAAGGTAAGCTATCTGTGTGTGATGATTCACTCTTCATTTTCTAGTAATCGCGACCTGCGTGACGAAAACAAATACTTAATAAGGAACACGGGTGGGTTTTATGAGCGTTGTTGCTTAAATCGACCACATTTCTCCCTACGTGTTCCCTTTAAGGGTATTCATCCTGATGAGAACGAAACATTGTAGCAATGGGGTAAGATCATAAATGGTTCAGCTTTACATTGGTTAAGTAACAGTAAAAAATTGATATATCTTTGGCAGATTTACAATTTGCTGCATTGAGTCATCATTCGAATAATTTCAGAAATTCTTAACGACTTCAGCTAATTTTTATATTCGAAAATTTGGCGAACAAATTTGACGCCAAACGCTTGTATCCTCCTAAGGTCTTAAAATGCTCAAATTCCTTTAAAGAAAGTCTGATGCTTAATTTTTTTGACGTTAGAAATATCTTACTTTTCAGAAACTGAAGAAATTTCAATTTCCAAAGCTAATCCATAAAAACAATCCAAGTTGTGGGTTTAAAGCGACGAATTAATAGTAACGGAGGGAATATAACCTCTCCTGACCGAAGCTAATGAATGTTTACTATTCTCACTCTTGTGGTCTGTTATGGATGTACATTTAAACAAGTCTCAACGACTGATTTTTTTAAAAGATGGGAGGGGAGGGGAGGGGAGGAGAGGGACTGTACCTGTGTTTCATCACAATCGTAAATTGTTGTGGTAGGGGGTGGTGGGAGTTGGGGGGCGGGGAGGGGGTAAAGGTATTTCAGGCCCCCTTGGATATCCCCCGCTGTTATTACTAATTTGTGACGTCATGAAGGAAAATGAAAAGCCCCTTGGAAGATATCGGACGAAAACGATGGAAATAGCAAATGATGAAATTTAAATGAGGCAAATTAAAAAAAAAAAATCCAGAACTGATGTTTGATACACTGGCCGTTTCACTAATGGTTTCATTAAATTTGAAGCGAGTTGAAAGCGTCTTTCTATCACCTAGAGGAAGACGGCTATGGATCATACTCGGTTTCAAATTTCACGGCGTCATGAAATCCTGAAATTGCAGGGAGTTTAGCTGTATTTACGCTCAGTGTACTGTTTTTTTCAGTCATGTGGCATATTAAGATAAAGATCGACATCTGTGTAATATTTTGTCCTTAATTCGAATAATTCAATGAATAAAGTCGACATCTAGCAATTTTAATTCGACATTATGGTGAATAACTCTTTAGCGCTGAGCCACTGATTGTGTTTAAAGAGCACATTGTTTATTTATCAGTGTTCCACAAAATATGTTTTTCGTCTTGTCACGGGCGTGAGACAAAGAAAAAAATTTATTATTCCCATGAGGAATCGAACCTCAAACCCGCGCTCCGATGCTTAATTAAGTTCTTAGCTTCATGCAATCAATGGATTTACTTTCAGTTTTGTAGATGGCGTGACAAACAGAGCCACTATTTAAGTTGACGAATTCCCGATATTTTTTTCGTCGTTAAATTAACCTCTATTGGAAGGTTTCATTCCAATATCTTTGCTTTTACAAAATTAACTATGAAAAGTTTCTTGCTTTAAACGGCGAGTTCAAGTTCATTCAATGAATTTTCATTTTCCAAAAGGTCTCTACCTCGCATGACTCATGTTACAATGTAATGAACACCCTACTGAGCGGAACGAACAGCCAGGGTCTCTCTCTTGGATGAGACTGGTTCCGAGTTTGGGTTTCTAATCAACGATTTCAGGATTACTCGTTGAAAAAAACAAAGCAAAACAAAAAAACCAAAAGCTAAAAAAATGTCTCTTTCGTTTACCACCTGACTGCCATTCTGATCCAGGCTATAAGAAAAGAGAGCACTACAGTTAGAGAGCCTTGCCAAGGTCTACTATTGAAGCTTTCGAAATTTCTTGGACCACAAACGATCGCCAAATTAAACCCCACGGGCCGGTTATTTACACGAGGTCTCACCCAAACCACGGTTTTATGCAACCAGTAGGTCTCCAGCCTTAATCTGTTAGGTTTCAGACCTCTAGACAATTTTCACAAAAATAAATGTTTGGATAAACGGTCCAGCTAAATCGAGGTTGTTTATGACGCGGTTTTGTTAAACAAAGGCTAACCTCTGTCTAAATAGTCGGCCCTAAAAGTTTGAGGACTACAAATAATTCTTTTGTATGAATGAAAAAATAAATAAAAAATAACGGAAAACTCTCTGTGTTTCTTTAAAGTAAAACTCTACAATCAGTCAATGCAATAGAAATTTTTGACACTGAAAAACAAATAATTGAAAAAACCAAAATTAATAAATAAATTGAGAAAAATATAAAGCTATATAGGTCTGGTGCTATGATAGAGTCTGTTACCATTTCAAATATAAAAGCGAGTCATGTTTTTTTGATCTAAAATGAATTACTAAACAAGTGATTACATAAAAAATGAAATTCTGTGCCTTTTTTTAGTGAAATTCCAAAATCAGCCAATTCACTACCAAATTAATTCAAAACAATGCTAACAAACAAATGAACAGAGAAATCGGAGAAAGAAAAAAAAAGGAAGAAAGTATTTTCAATCGTACAGGGGTTGATTTTTAGTGTTAAGTATGAATGAATGTCGCATTAGCTATGAAGGTCACACTGTGATGGGTTGGCACTTTCTTAGAGACTATTTACATTTCAAATTTGAAAGGAGCCAAGCTCTGTTGATCTGGAGTGAATTACAAAGTAACAAAAGTTGGGTTACTAAGTTTCAGCGAGCGCGAATTTTACGCGTCCACGAGTAAAAACTTAAATGATATGGATGGACAGCTCGTGTCATTAGAATGAAAATTGGTGATAAACGGAAAGAAGCAGTGGATTAGAGAAACCTGGGAACAGTATTCACATCGCTTAGTTACTAAGCTAGCATCAGTAACAGGAGATTCTGAAGAAATCTTGCATTTGTCAGCTGATAAACTGCAGGAGTGTACTTTGGGAGTTGACTGTAATGATATATCTTAAGCACTTCAAAATTGTTCATAGAATGTCTTGTTTAAAACAATTGTCTAACATAAATCCTATTGCTGACGTAGATTGAAAGCCTCGCACCAGAAGTCTCTTTGGTGACGTCTTGTAGGATTCCTGTTCCTTTTTCATGGTCTCTGGAGGGTCTCACTTGGAAACAGTTGGAATACTACTTTGAAGCCACGGATACTTTAGGTACTTTCATTTTAATATCCATAACATGACTTTTCTTTGCAACTGTTTGTAATGAATGGAGCAGTTAATTGGAAAATATAGGAAAACATGTTTGTTACGAATCATCTGGAATTTCCTTTCCAGAATTAATGAGAAACTAAGTAAGTTGAGTGATAAGAGCACTTTTCGATTGAGTGTTGTTAAATCAAAACCTAAGTGATCCTAACAGCCAATCAGAAGAAAGAAAAATACCCTTTAAGAGCCAATGAGAACTCAAAGAGTATTCATTTAAAAGCATTTCCTTCACAGCCTCTTATCATTTACGTGTAAGGAAGAACTACTGACGAGCTAAGCCGTCAGCAGCGTTTTGCACGCTGCAAATTTTTTTTGAATTATTCGCTTCTTATGTATAATGTTTCCTTCCCTTCTTTCAAACTTACAGCAAAGAAGACCACAATGGACAACATAGAAGGGGTTTTAAACACAGTACAAGTGGTCTTGATAGGTATGACGATCGCCAAGTTCCTTCTAAACACTGGTTGTTTTTTACCAGCCATAGAGTTGTGTGAGGAATGTTTGATTTTACTAAACAGTGAGGCGCTTGATAAGGATGGTCCAATTACCGACTCAATTCTCGTTAAGAGTATCTTAAGAGTAGAAGCAATGGTTTACAGAAACCATGGAAAAGTGTTTCAATTGCTTGGTAATTATAACAAGGCACAAGAATATTACAAGAAAGCACTTGCTATCACATTGGAAATTGGTGACAGAAAAGGAGAAGCAACGGTTCACGGAGACCTAGGAATAGCGTTACGATCGCTTGGTAATTATAACAAGGCACAAGAACATTACGAGAAAGCACTTGCTATCACATTGGAAATTGGTGACAGAGAAGGAGAAGCAGCGGCTTACGGAAACCTAGGAACCGTGTTTCAAACGCTTGGTAATTATAACAAGGCACAAGAACATTAAGAGAAAGCACTTGCTATCACATTGGAAATTGGTGACAGAAAAGGAGAAGCAGTGGCTTACGGAAACCTAGGAACCGTGTTTCAAACGCTTGGTAATTATAACAAGGCACAAGAATATTACAAGAAAGCACTTGCTATCACATTGGAAATTGGTTACAGAAAAGGAGAAGCAACGGTTTACGGAAACCATGGAAAAGTGTTTCAATCGCTTGGTAATTATAACAAGGCACAAGAATATTACAAGAAAGCACTTGCTATCACATTGGAAATTGGTGACAGGAAAGGAGAAGCAACGGTTTACGGAGACCTAGGAACAGTGTTTCAATCGCTTGGTAATTATAACAAGGCACAAGAATATTACAAGAAAGCACTTGCTATCACATTGGAAATTGGTGACAGAAAAGGAGAAGCAACGATTTACGGAAACCTAGGAACAGTGTTTCAATCGCTTGGTAATTATAACAAGGCACAAGAATATTGCAAGAAAGCACTTGCTATCAAATTGGAAATTGGTGACAGAAAAGGAGAAGCAACGACTTACAGAAACCTAGGAGCATTCTTCAAATCGCTTGATAATTATAACAAGGCACAAGAATATTACAACAAAGCACTTGCTATCGCATTGGAAATTGGTGACAAGAAAGAAGAAGCAACAGTTTACGGAGACATCGGGAACCTGTTTACGTTACTAGGTGAACATAACAAGGCACAAGAATATTACAAGAAAGCATTGGCCATTAGAATGAAAATTGGTGACAGAGAAGGAGAAGCAGCGGATTACGAAGACCTAGGAACAGTGTTTCAATCGATTAATAATTATGACCAAGCGAAAAAATATTACAAGGGAGCACTTGCTATCACATTGGAAATTGGTGACAGAAAAGGTGAAGCAGCGAATTACGGAAACCTAGGAACAGTGTTTCAATCGCTTGGTAATTATGACGAGGCACATCAATATTACAAGAAAGCGCTGGTCATCGCAATGGAAATTGGTGACAGAAAAGGAGAAGCAGCGGTTTACCGAAATTTAGGAAGCGTGTTCCGAATGCTTGGTAATTCTACCCAGGCGCAAGAATATCAGGAGAAAGCACTGGCCATCAGAAAGGAAATTGGTGACAGAAAAGGAGAAGCAGCGGATTGCGGAACCCTTGGAACCATGTTTCAATCGATTGGAAATTATGACGAGGCACAAGAATGTTACGAGAAAGCTCTGGCCATCAGTCTAGAAATTGGTGACAGAAAAGGAGAAGCAGCGGTCAACAGAAATTTAGGAACAGTTTTTCAATCGCTTGGTAATTATGCTCAGGCGCAAGAATTTCACGAGAAAGCACTTGCCATCTCACTGAAGATTGGTGACAGAAAAGGAGAAGCAGCGGTTTACCGAAATTTAGGAAGCGTGTTCCGAATGCTTGGTAATTCTGCCCAGGCGCAAGAATATCACAAGAAAGCAATTACCATCAGAAAGGAAATTGGTGACAGAGCAGGAGAAGCGTTAGATTACGGAAACCTAGGAGCATTCTTTCAATCGATTGGAAATTATGACGAGGCACAAGAATATTACGAGAAAGCACTGGCCATCAGTCTAGAAATTGGTGACAGAAAAGGAGAAGCAGCGGATTACGGAAACCTAGGAACAGTGTTTCAATCGCTTGGTAATTATAGCAGGTCACAAGAATATTACGAGAGAGCACTTGCTATCATACTGGAAATTGGTGACAGAAAAGGAGAAGCAGCGGTCTACGGAAATTTAGGAACAGTGTGTCAATCGCTTGGTAATTATGCCCAGGCGCAAGAACATCACGAGAAAGCACTTGCCATCACACTGGAGATTGGTGACAGAAAAGGAGAAGCAGCGAATTACGGAAATTTAGGAACAGTGTTTCAATCTCTTAGTAATTATGCCCAGGCGCAAGAATATCACGAGAAAGCACTTGCTATAAGACTGCAAATTGGTGACAGAAAAGGACAATCAGCGGATTACGGAAACCTAGGAACAGTGTTCCGAGTGCTTGGAAATTATGACGAGGCACAAGAATATTATGAGAAAGCACTGGCCATCAGTCTGGAAATTAGAGACAGAGAAGGAGAAGCAGTGAATTACGGAAATTTGGGAACAGTATTTCAATCGCTAGGTAATTATGCCCAGGCTCAAGAATATCACGAGAAAGCACTTGCCATCACACTGGAGATTGGTGATAGAAAAGGAGAAGCAGTGAATTACGGAAATTCAGGTAAAGTTTTTCAATCGCTTGGTTATTATGACCAGGCGCAAGAATATCACGAGAAAGCACTTGCCATCACAATGAAAATTGGTGATAGAAGAGGAGAATCAGCGGATTACGGAAACCTAGGAGCAGTCTTCCAATCGCTTGGTAATTATGACAAGGCACAAGAATATTACAAGAAAGCACTGGTCATCAAACTGGAAATTGGTGACAGAAAAGGAGAAGCAGTGGTTTCCGGAAACCTAGAAACCGTGTTCCAATCGATTGGTAATTATGACGAGGCGCAAGAATATCACGAGAAAGCACTGGCTATCAATCTGAAAATTGGTGACCAAAAAGGAGAGGCAGAGGCTTATGGAAACCTAGGAACAGTGTTCCAATTGCTTGGTAATTGTGCCCAAGCACAAGAATATTACGAGAGAGCACTTGCTATCAGACTGGAAATTGGTGACAGAAAAGGAGAAGCAACAGATTACGGAAACCTAGGAACAGTATTTCAATCGCTTGGTAATTATAACAAGGCGCAAGAATATCACGAGAAAGCACTGGCTATCAATCTGAAAATTGGTGACCGAAAAGGAGAGGCAGAGGCTTATGGAAACCTAGGAACAGTGTTCCAATTGCTTGGTAATTGTGCCCAAGCACAAGAATATTACGAGAAAGCACTTGCTATCACACTGGAAATTGGTGACAGAAAAGGAGAAGCAACGATTCACGGACACCTAGGAACAGTGTTTCAATCGCTTGATAACTATAACAAGGCACAAGAGTATTACAACAAAGCACTTGCTATCACATTGGAAATTGGTGACAGAAAAGGAGAAGCAACAGTTTACGGGAATCTAGGAACAGTGTTTCAATCGCTTGGTAATTATAACAAGGCACAAGAATATTTCGAGAGAGCACTTTCTATCACATTGGAAATTGGTGACAGAAAAGGAGAAGCAACGATTCACGGACACCTAGGAACAGTGTTTCAATCGCTTGATAATTATAACACGGCACAAGAGTATTACAACAAAGCACTTGCCATCACATTGGAAATTGGTGACAGAAAAGGAGAAGCAGCGGATTATGGAAACCTAGGAACAGTGTTTCAATCGCTTGGTAATTATGCTAAGGCACAAGAATATTACGAGAAAGCACTTGCCATAAGAATGGAAATTGGTGACAGAAAAGGAGAAGCAACGGACTACGGAAATCTAGGAACAGTGTTTCAATCGCTTGATAATTATAACAAGGCACAAGAGTATTACAACAAAGCACTTGCTATCACATTGGAAATTGGTGACAGAAAAGGAGAAGCAACAGTTTACGGGAATCTAGGAACAGTGTTTCAATCGCTTGATAATTATAACAAGGCACAAGAATATTACAACAAAGCACTTGCTATCACATTGGAAATTGGTGACAGAAAAGGAGAAGCAACGGACTACGGAAATATAGGAACAGTGTTCCAATCGATTGGTAATTATGCCCAGGCGCAAGAATATCACGAGAAAGCACTTGCTATCAGACTGGAAATTGGTGACAGAAAAGGAGAAGCAGCGGATTACGGAAATCTAGGAACAGTGTTTAAATCGATTGGTAATTACGCCCAGGCACAAGAATATCACGAGAAAGCACTTGCCATCAGACTAGAAATTGGTGACAGAAAAGGAGAAGCAGCGGATTACGGAAACCTAGGAACAGTGTTTCAATCGCTTGGTTATTATAACAAGGCACAAGAATATTACCAGAAAGCACTTTCTATCAGACTGGAAATTGGTGACAAAAAAGGGGAGGCAAGGGATTACGGAAACATCGGGACCCTGTTTTCGTTACTAGGTGAATATGACAAGGCTCAAGAATATTTGGAGAAAGCACCACGGATTCAAAAGAAACTTTGCGACAGAAGTGGAGAAGCAAGGTGTTATGGAAACTTGGGAGCTTCGTTTCTGTCACTCAGAAAATACCCTAAAGCAGATAAATATCTACAGCAATCACTGGCAATAGCAAAGGAAATTGGCGATAAACGTGGAGAAGCAGCAGTTTACGGTCATCTGGGGATAATTTCTTGTCATCTTTAGAATTATGAAAAGGCTCAAGAACATCACGAGAAAGCCCTTGCAATCTGTAAGGAAATTGGCGACAGAGATGGAGAAGTAGTCGCATACAAAAATTTGGGGGCATGTTTCCACTCGCTTGACATATATAACGTGGCCGAAAAATACATCAATAGGGCCTTATTAATAAGCAAGAATATTGGACACAACTTGAACGAATTTCGTTGCCTTCGTCAACTAACGCTGTTGAAGCTATCACAATTTAATCTCAAAGAGGCCATGTCATATCTTTTTCAGTGTATTGGAAAATTCGACACGTTGCGAGGTTTCCTTAAAGATGACGATCAGTTTAAGACTTCTCTTTTAGAGGAGCACGGCAATTTCCCATACAAGTTGCTCAGCTACTTGCTTTCTTCTACCGGCGAGCCAAGAGATGCTCTTTATGTTGAGGAGCTGAGACGGGCAAGAGGCCTCGCCGACTTCATGGCAGCCAAGTACTCTGTTCAAGAGCTGATCTCAGGAAATCCACAGTCATGGCATGGCATTCAAAATATCATCCCAAAAGAAACGGACTGTACATGTCTTTATATTTCAGTTGAAAAAGAACATGCACGGTACTGGATTCTCGAAGCATCAGGAGCCATTCATTTCTCACGAAAGAAAGTGAGTCTGGAGAAACGCGTGGTGACCCAATTAGTTCCTGATTTGGACGAGTTTTTCAAAGAGAGCTTCCGCAGCCTTGGCATTTTACCTCAACAGAATTGCGAAGATCGATCATTAGATGACACAGAATCGATGCCACCTCACAAGCCCATGCGTGACTATGATCCAAAAGATTTCAAAACGAATCTTCAGTCGTGTTACGAGTTAATCATCGCTCCCGTGGCCGATTTACTGAAAGAGCCCGAGATTTTAATTGTCCCTGAATCCTGTATGTACCAAGTCCCATTTGCTGCCATTAGTGATGAAGGAGGACTCTATTTAGTGGACACTTTCAGGATTCGCGTCGTTCCCTCTCTGACGACTCTAAAGCTGATTCAGGACAGTTCCCCAGACTATCACAGTCAGAGAGGAGCACTGATAGTGGGTGATCCTGAGGTTGGCGAGGTGCTTTTGAAAGGAAAACGCACGATCCTAAAATCATTGCCATGCGCACGAAAGGAAGCAGAAATGATTGGACGACTTCTTGGAGTGACACCTTTGACTGGAGACCGTGCAACAAAGGAGGCAGTTCTTGATGCAATAAATTCAGTAAGTCTGATTCACTTTGCTGCCCATGGTGATCGCGAAAGAGGAGAGATTGCTCTCTCTCCTAATTGCCCCACCAATTTCATTCCACAAGACGAAAACTTCCTTTTGACGATGGCGGACATTTCAAAAGTTCGGCTGCGAGCTAAAATGGTGGTACTCAGCTGTTGTCACAGTGCTCGTGGGCAGATTAAAGCCGAGGGAATTATTGGAATCGCTCGAGCGTTCTTAGGATCTGGTGCTCGTTCAGTGTTGGCGGCACGGTGGGCCATAGAAGACACAGCCACGGAGGAATTCATGAGATGTTTCTACCAAAACTTGTTCCGCGGTAAAAGTGCAAGTGAATCCCTTCACGAGGCCAGGAAATGGTTGAGAAAGAACGGCTTCGAAAAAGTTTCTCAGTGGGCTCCCTTCATGCTTATTGGCGATAACGTGACATTTGATTTTGAAAATTGGTCCGGGTCTAAAACATCCAAACAGCCATGAGAGAAGCGAATCCTTTTAAATGGATCAAGTAAACTTTGCAACGGTCAATTGCCTTCCTGAAGGAAAAAAACGCAATCTGTGAAGGACAGAAAACCTTTTCTGAGAGCGCTTATTAGCCATCTATGTGTAATAATCTGGAACATGAAGACAGTTCATAATTCAGTGTTTATGAACCAGCGGTTGAGCTGTTAACCCTTTACACCCTAACACCAATATTCATATTCTCCATACTGTTCTCTAGACATTTCCTAGGGTGCTGACAAGGAGAATTCGTCTAAATAATCAAGAATTTCTTTAGTTGGTGATCATTTCCTTTATTCTCATGACCTCAATGAGTAATTCAGTGGTGATATTGTAAGGAGAAATAAGATGTTAGTCACTCTTAGGGTTTAAAGGGTTAACAATTTCAGAAGCCTTTCTGTTGGAGAAACATTAACTCATTAGTCAAAACAAACAAAGGTTACGCAAGTATTTTTTGAGCGCGATAATTCAGTCAAGCCAAACAAAGTTTAAGATTCTTTTCCGCAAGTGATTAGTTACTCAAACGAGGCAAATTTTAAGACTTTTGTCTAAGAAGCCCTCCATTACATGTAAAGTCTATAACACAAAAATTATTCCTGAAGGTTGAAATCACCTGAAAATTCTTGCCAGTCGGAAACTGTCTGTTGCCCTATATATATAATGAAGAGGCATTTTATTAGAGTAGGACATAGTTATGAAATGTTTTGACAGTTCTTTCTGCAAGGAAATAAGTTCTAAAACCACAGTAAGGTCAATATAGTGCTCCCCATGTCTCTTGCTTTGATACATTATAATGCTCATACTTTTTATTTGAAATTGATTGCCTCAGTGATCAGTTTTTTTTTCAAGGGCTAAATTTTTCAGCGATTCGACGAACATTTGTCTCAGAAAAGTTCTTGAGACTATCCTAGTCAAAGGAGAGTTTATTTTATCTTAAATGTTCTATTGTTGATACCTGTTTTTTCAATGATTCGACGAATATTTGTCTTAGAAAAAATTAGTGAGACTATTCTAATCAAATAACAAGTTTATATTATCTTAAATGTTTTATTGCTGATTCCTGTTTGTTTAACAGATACTGACATTTACTCCAAGCGAAATTTTCAAATAAAAATTATTCGTAATTAATTGCACGAATTCTTGTTGGTCAGACAGTTTTTCTCACAAGCGAGAAATAATCCAAGAAGAAGAAAGTATCAAATCATAGCGAATCATCTTGTTAGGACCGAACAGTTTTCGACTGAGAATCACCGAAAATCCAAAACCAAAGTTATAACAACTACAAATCAGAACCAAGGTTAGCATCTTCATGAACCAATAAGAACTCAAAGTTAAACGAGAAAACCTGCTTGAAGTGCGGGAAAATGTGGGGGGGAACAAGTCGTGATTGGTTTTAGTTTTGCAGTCGATTGGTTGAGGAAGTACCGTGATTTTTCTAGATCAATCTTAGAGCGAAGTAAATGAAAAACCTAAGCTACCAGGATCACTTTCGATACTCATTTAAGAACTGCTCTATTTCTTCAATTGAAGAATGGCTAATTTTGAAGGTAATATCAACTAGCGTAGCAGGTGTTAGTGGAAGCTGTCAACTTCCCCTCTTGCGTTCGGTCTTGTCGGCTTAATTTCGATGTCCTGCTATTGTTATAGCTTACTCATATATGGAGAAGATTCACCTTTTACTTTATTGTTATTTGAAGTTTTCCTCTTGTTAAAATATTTCATAAGGAAAACTTTGATTTAACAATATGCCACCACATTCTGTTCAAATCGAGTTGCTTCAGGTGAAAGGGGGTAAGTTTTTAAAGAAACTGTGGTACTGTGTCGGTAGGAAAGCAACCCTTCGAAACATCAGCTTTACAAACTCTCTAAGGTGGCTAATTTACGTTATCAACACAGTTGATAAAACCAAAGTATCTTGCTTCTATTCTTTTCTGTTCTTTTCTATTCTACACACTAAGTCAGCTGGAATTGAAACGAGAACGATGACAATTCTTTTTCGTGTCGAGGGCATTTTAGTTAAGACCTACTCAAGGCTTCGGTCCCGAATTAAGGCTTCCATAGATATCAGTTCTCCGATGATTCATCGACGGCATCTGTTGCCGAACCTTGTTTAAGTATCCAAGGTCAATTTCTGCTGCACACACGTCATTTCCTTCATGACACTGAGCAATAACACAGCCCCAAGGATCTACAACCTGCAGTGACATGAACAAGGACAATACTCAGTACACGAGGCCTGCTAAGAAATGACTTTGTCAGGGTTAGCGTCTTTCATATTATCAGGTTCCCTCATAGCTAACTGGTACCCATTTATACCATCCTGGGTAACGAGAGTCACTGTAAGAGCAGGGTGCCTTGCATCATAATATAACATAGCAATCTCGCCAGAACTTGGAACTACACTTTTCTCACTTTAGCTTAGTGCTGTTACAGCAGACCAACATGAC